GGAATATAGGAGGAGTACACAGAACCAGGAACCAAGGACAGAGGAAAGGAGATGAATGATAGCCCAGAGTAGAGGCTCAGATGACGCTAGGGAATACAGACAGAGAAGGAATCAAGAGCCCAGTACAAAGGAAAGGAGACAAATGACAGCACAGGGTAGAGCCTCAGGTGAAGACAGGAGGGAATACAGACAGAGTAGAAGGAATCTAGAGCCAAGTGCAGAGGAAAGGAGACAAATGATAGTTCATGGAGAAGGTTCAGATGAAGAATAGGGGGCCCAGGGGCTACACTAGATCAGAAAGCCCCAGGAAGAAATGACCCAGAGACAAAGTCCCACTGGTCTTGTGAATCCATTGAGGACTTGAGATATTTATTTAAGAAACAGACAAATACTTGACTATTACTGACTTCTTTTCCAGTTATTGTTGCAGGATACCCAAGGACTCACTTTTCTGAAGAAACCCTGAGAAAACTAACATGCTCTAACCAATCTTCTTCCTTTCAAAGTCTAGGAGACATGAAATAACATCTAGGATCATGCATATGCTGGCTGTATTTTTTTTTTTTTTACACAGAAAGGCTTTCAACCTTGATTTTGGTATTTCCTTTTAACTTTTTGCTTTTTTAACTTCGAGGTTTTTTTTTTCTCTTCTTGTTTTTGTTACTTTGGCCTATGAGTGAAACTGCAGTTGTATGAGATATCCCACGCGTGATAAGTGGTAACTGAAGAGCTCTTGGTGTCTATATGTTGTATGTCTGTATGTCCTTTCCTCATGTACCTGTCTTGGCCTCTACTGGTTAACAAGTTGGTAAACATGGTGCCTATAGACATTGGAAAAAAAAGACTCTCCAGTTATGAGGAAAAACTAAAGTTTATGGTTTGATTGTCAACACTGTACTACTGATCTAAGCAGGTGCCTTCACAGAGATTGAATGTTGTTTCTGCTGTTTTTCTGATATTTATGGCAAAGCTTCCCAGAAATCTAAATTCAAGTAAAATTTGGCAGCCTGTCATTTGGCTGATGCAAGGAAATTTTGTGGAACCTCATAGAGCTCCCGAGACACTCCACAAAGTTTCTCCCTTTCCTCCTGGGAAAAGCATTGCATGAATTTGTCCTATTCGGCTTACCTAGTAAAGTAAAACTAGAAGGGAAGCATTGTCACTTGGGAAAATGGTAAAACTTTGGCATGTACAGAAATGTTAACACTGGTTTTCTAAAATGTGTATAAAACCTCTCAGTACCTGATATGTATGTAAATTGTCAATGGTTATTGTTGCCTTGTAATATTGTATACTTCGATTGTTTATTGACAGAAATTGTTTCTGGAAGAATAGGGAGAAAAGACCTCAACAGATTCCTATTGATGGAACTGTTGAGTACAAATTTCCTACGCAGGACTGAATACACCTGATATTTACTAAGTTTTAGTTGACATAATACTGGTAAATTTTTTTTGCATTTTGTCATGAATTCACAAAGTTTTTTTGTTTTGGTGACCAGGATTTGTGGTAAGGTTCCGTTTTTTTTTCCAGCAAAGCTAACCTGTGTTCACATTTTCTCTCACCTTGATACCAACACAACATACAAATAGTGGTAGTAATTTTTTGCTACTTATCTCAGAGTCTGTTTTTGCATAACTTCTATAGGGATTTTGTCTGTTTAAACTAAAAAAACTGGACATGAGTGTCATTGTGTGGCTTTGAGTGGAGTTCTTCCAGGAAGTTGAAACAGAGCTGAACCGAGAAGAGAAAAACCTGTTGCTTTGTTCGGAGGGTTCCAGAGACCTCCAAAGAAGGTGAGGAAGCTGCCTCCATTGGCAGGACTGGACAACCTGGCCTATGAAAAGCCCTGGTACCCTCGAGAAGAGGAAAGCCCAGGTGGAGTCTGATGAGACGAACTTTGTTCCTGAAGCCTACATGGACTGGATTTCAACAGTTCGCTCTGATCCTATATGGAGTATTCCAACAAAGCCAGCTAAAATTGCTGTTTAGTTATTCTACCCTGTGATTTTATGCAAAAATAGATAATATGGTTTAAAAGTACATTTAGTTTGCAAACTTTTGCTATGCTGTTCAAAAATTTGGGATCAAGGTTGAGAGAATTTGTTTTTTACATAAGTTGAACCATTTTAAGATTTTTTTCCCTGTGATTTTGAAATATTTGCTGTCTTGTTTTGGTTAATGCCTCCAGATGTTTTTTTTTTTTTTTTTTGCCTTGGACTGATGAACTGTTTTTCCAGGAATGGAGGACTTTTGCTTTCCACAATGGACAATACCTGTAGGGACTGGTTTTCTTTCACACTGGAACCCTGGAAAATTTTCATCTGAGACTGTATCCCAGCATCCATATATTTGATCTTTTTTTTTTAAGATTTATTTATTTATTTATTTATTTATACAAGCACTGGGTACAGTCAGAAGCGCGGGAGGGTGAGAGAATTCACCAGAGCCAGAGCGGGGAGCAGAGCAGGCAGAAAGACCAAAGTACACTGCTGAGGGGAGCAGCTGGGTGGCAGGAGAGGTCTGCGCGCTATGTGGGAGCCTCCTCCTGTGGCCGGGGAGCAGCTGGGGGTCGAACTGGAGCTGCAGAAGCTGCTGGCAGCTTCGCAACCCAGCGCTCAACTGCTGCGCCACTGGGGAGGCCCCCAAATATTTGATCTTCATCACCATGGAAATGGTGGCAAAAAGTGAAAAGGGGGAATTGTTAGGGGGAAAGGATGTCCTGAGATAATTCCATGCAGGCTTTGTGGACTCCACCCCCACCCCAGGCCAAAGCCATCAAGACATTGGGAAGGACAAATCCCATCACCACCAAAGGGCAGGTTGCTGGGAACTGAGGGTGGAGTTAAGCAGCCAGGTTGGGTATAAAACCAGACACCTGGGCCTTGGGGTCTCTCTCTTGCTTGCCTCCTGGCTTCACGGCTCGGGGCTCTCGGCCAGCTCTCAGGGTGCCATTTGGGAGTCCAGATCCGCGGATCGGGTAGGACGCATTTGAGACTTTATCTCCCACTTTTCTCCCTGAGCTGTACATTTCCTCATTTCCCCTTCCCTTGTGAATAAATCTTTTATTAATTTTTTGTGTGTGCCTGCAGCGGAGTATTAAGTTCCTTTTAAGTGCTCGGGTGAGGACCCACAGTCAGGCAACCCGTTTTATATCAGGGCTGCCATGTAACACATCCACTATAGGCAGCTGTGTGGAGGTTCCACAGAACACTGAAAACGGGTCTACACATGATCCAGCGTTCCACTCCTAGGAATCTACCTAAGGGACAAAAAAAACAAAACCAAAACCAAAAACAAACCAGGAAACCTGAACTCCTGTGTTTATTGCAGCCCTATTTACAGTAGCCATGACATGGAAACAACTCAAATGCTAGAAAATAGATGAGTGGATCAAAACGTTGTGGTATAATTACGCCACGGACTATTACTCTGCAATCAAAAAACACAAATTCATGCCGCGTGTGGTGATATGGATGGAGCTGGAAGGGATGATGCCACAATGAGGCAGGAGAAAGGTAAATATCAGATGGTTTCACTTACATGTGAAATACAGAGAAACAGAACAAAAGGTAAAGAAAAAGACAACCCTAGCAGGCTTGCCAAGACCTGAGGCATTCAGCAGGGAGGGGGAAGGAGGGGGTGAACAGAGGGGAGGGAAGAGCACAAGGTGATAGGTCATGGGCGCTATGGTGGTGGGAGAACTATGGGGACCACCTCTGAGGGGAGAAACCATTAACTAGACAAAAATGAACAACTATGTAAGAAAAGAAGAAAAGGGCCTCCCTGGTGGCGCAGGCAGTTGAGCGCAGCACTGTGAAGCTGTCCGCAGCCTCTGCAGTGCCGGTTCGATCCCCGCCGGCCGCAGAGATGCCCACATGGTGCGGCAGACCTCTCCTGTCTCCCCCGCTGCTCCCCTCAGCAGTGTGTTTCTGTCAATCTGCCTGCTCTGCTCCCCGCTCTGTCTCTGGTGACTCCTTTTCACCCTCCCGTGCTTCTGGCCTGTACCCCAGTTCTTGTATAAATAAATAAATAAATAAACAAACAAATAAATAAATAAATCTTTTTTGGAAAAAAAAGGAAGAAAAAAAGAGATGGTCTTTAAGGACAGGGAAGACCCTAAGGCAATATAAATAAATAAATGCTCCTAAAGGGGATCTCATCCTGAACAACGCTGCAGGCACTGCCGAGGCATTCCCTCCTCACCAATTGTTCTAGATCTCCAGGAATTTTCTCTGGTAGGTGCAGCAATTAAGCCTGCTGCGTGGGAATCATTAGAAAAAGACTATTTTTTATACAATTTATTTATTTATTTATACAAGCACTGGGTACAGTCAGAAGCACGGGAGGGTGAGAGAATTCACCAGAGCCAGAGTGGGGAGCAGAGCAGCCAGACTGATGAAATACACTGCTGAGGGGAGCAGCGGGGAGACAGGAGAGGTCTGCGTGCCATGTGGGACCCTCGCCGGTGGCCAGGGATCGAACCAGCAATGCCACGGGCAGCTTCATAGCCCAGCGCTCTACTGCTGCGCCACCAGGGGAGGCCCAGAAAAAGGCTATTTTTTAACTGCAGTCTCTTATGAGTAGCAATCCTGTTTGGGATTAGAGCCATTCTAAAACTATGAAGTCATTCACGTTCAATATTAATGGCAGCATCTTCATGTGGTGCAATGAAATGTGAAAGTATTGTTCTGTCTTGCTTTAGGCTGAAGCTCCTTTCTTATGGAGGAGGCCGCCCAGCACCCAAGGACCTGTTGTGTGGATGGGTGAGGGTGCCCACGCGCCTTCACTGCCCCTGGCCTCCAAGAGGGTCACAATTTACCCTCATTTTAAAACCTCTGGTTCAGTACAAAACACAAAGATTTGGGAGTCCAAACATATCTGGCCCTTGTGCTTATTTTTGGATCTCAGATAAGTCACTGATCCCTTTTGGACCTCAGGGTCCACGACTACAGGGTAGGAATAATATCTCTACAGTGTCATTAATGGAGATCACGTACCTAAAGCGATGAACTTGTTGTTCCAGCAGGTGCTCAATAAATGCTGGTTCCTTTCTCCTTTCCAGAGAAATTCAACTTCTCTCCAAGGCGAGCATAACAGGGATTGGCAAGGAAGGAGGTAACATCAGTTTAACACATTAAAAGGTAAAGTGCAGCCTCCCCTCCCATCCCCAGTGGCCTAGGGGTTAAATCTCAGTGCTGTCACAACAATGGTCTGAGTTCACGCCTGGCCAGGGAGCTACCCACATGGTGCAGCAGACCTCTCCTGTCTCACCTGCTGCTCCCCTCAGCAGTGTATCTCGGTATATCTGCCTGTTCTACTCCCTACTCTGTCTCTGGTGAATCCTCTCACTCTCCCACATCTCTGGCCTGCACCCCAGTTCTTCTGTGAAAAAAATAAACAAAAGCTTTTAAAAAAAGATAAAGTGGATTATCTCCAAAATGTCCAGTTCCCACATGAGTCACTGTGGTTGACACAATCCCTGAAATAGGAGGAATCCTCTCAGCACCATCTATAGAGAAAAGATCTCAAAAGCTTAGAAAAGGGCCCTTCAGTGTCTCACATGCTCCCCATGAAGAAACTTTCCACCCCGATGGGTGGTGGTGCCCGGCTGTCACAGCTGCGGGGTTTCTCAGGTTGGCCCTTCAGTGATGCAGAGAGGGCCACTGCTTTCAATACACTGAATCCGTTAATAATAACCCATTTTAGAAAACCAAAGACTTGTAGCCAGAGCATGGCAGGCCGTGTGGCTCCTGGTCACTCAAGGCTCAGGAAAGCCTGGATTCTATCCAAGGGTTATTGTAAAGTCGCCTCATGAGGCAGTTTCCAGGGTCAACCCCCCCTTCAAGGCTCTGCATGGCCATATCACCTGCACCACAGGTAGTGATGCCTCGGCCCCCAGACGTGGGCCCGGGCCCAGCACGGGCAGCATCTCAGACCCCGTGAGAAATGCAGAGCCCCAGGCACCACGCAACCCACTGGGTCAGAACCTGCACCCCGGGAGACTGGGACTCGACTCTGCCCTCCTGCCTGCTGGACCTGGCGTGGGGAGGGGGGTGTCAGCCCCAGAAAAGTGTCCGATACATTTCCCAAATTATATCTAAGTCCACAGAAATAAAACACACACATCAATGGAACAGAACGGAGAGCCCAGAAAACCCATCCGGGGGTTGATCAGTGCAGCAGGGAGGAGCTGGGAGCAAACACGGGGGATGCGCTTTCATTCAGGGGCGCCGGGCACCCACAGAGTCACACTCGGGAATGTCCTGACCCCCATGTTCCTCCAGGACCCGAAATGAGCCGCGCAGAGCTCCCCACAGCCCGCCCGCCCGGCCCTGGGTCCCCCGACTCACGCTCTGCAGCCAGCCCCGGGCAGGGAGACGTCCTCGCCGTCCCCTCGCTCTGGGGTGGCTCCTGAAGAAACCGGGTTCCCGCAGGCAAGGACTTCACCCCAAGTCCGGAGAAGCAAGTGCCGAGGCGAGCCCGGCCACTGGGGAGGCGGGAGCCAGTGTTGGGGCGGGGCGGGGCTGCAGGAGCAGGGGCGGGGCTGTAGGAACAGGTGAGGGGCTGCAGGGAGGGGGCGGGGCTGCAGGTGCGGGTGTTGGGGGGCTCCAGGGCCGGGGGCAAGCGGGACGGCCCCGCCCGTCCTGCTGTGGCTGAAGTTGAGAAAATCCAACGGAAACGGAGGCGAAGGGCCCACATCCCCGAAAACACTGTTCACCTAAACGTTCCGCAGCCATGAAAACAGCAGCTCGTGTCCCTGTGCATCAAACACACGCTGGGGACACCGACCCGCGGCCGCAGAGGGCCCCCAACCCGCTGCCCCCCCACCCAGTGAAAGAGGCCGCGCCCGCCCCGGCCCCGCCCCCGCCCCGCCCCCGCCCGCCCGGCCCCGCCCGCCCCGGCCTCGCCCGCCCCGGCCTCGCCCGCCCCGGCCTCGCCCGCCCCGGCCTCGCCCGCCCCGGCGCCTCCTTGGGATTCCCCGCGAGGCCGCATTTCCCCGCCTCGCCTCCAGGCGGCGCGCGCTCTCCCCTCATGCGCTTTGTCCCCGGGGCTTCTCCTTCCTCCGGGCGCTCCCGGCTCCGCGTCTCCACCCCTTCCGCTCCCGCTGCCGCTCTCGCGTCAGCGCGCAGTGCCATGACATCAACACGCAAGGGGCGGGGCAAGGCCGAGGAAGGAGAGGCACGCGGCGGGGAACTAGGGACGAAGCAGCGGCGCGCGCCGCCTGGGGGCGCGGAGGGGCGGGGGCCGCAGCCGAGAGGCGGGTCAGCCGGGTGCGAGGGCAGGGGTGGGAAGGGGGGGATGCAGCCCGGAGAGTCGTGGGGGGGGGGAGGAAGCGGGAGTGTGTGACGTGAAATGGGGGTTCTCGCGCATTCGGGGAAGAGAACAAGGTGGTGTCGCCCTTCCGCGGGGACTCTGGGTTTAGCGGCCGGCCTTGGGGATGTTGTATGTGCGTGTGTCTCTAGCAAAAGAAATAGTAATTCAGGTTTTGAGACATGACCTAAGGAGACGCTTTCACACACACACACACACACACACACACACACACACACCTTTATTTGTAAACGTGCTAACCAGCATTTTCTCCTACTGACAAACACTGGAAACAATCGAAGTCAAAACTCCAGGAACCCGTGAAATGTGTAGCACCGTGTGCATGAGACAAAGGGAGCATGAGGCACCGTCATTCTGAATAGTTTTGCACGACTTGGAAAATACTTGTGTTATAATGTTAAATGAAGGAGGAAGGAGAGAAGATTGTAGGATAGCATTCCCTGTTCCAGATACCAGGAGAACATAACAGGATTCATTTAAATTTTAAACACCAGACAAAAGGGAAATCACGTGTTATGTCTGCATTTAGTGATACACACTTAGGTGATGACCTGCCATGAAGGGCAAGAGAAATAATTATGACAGACAAACATTCCTGCTTACTTGGGGAGGAAGATTATGATACAATGTGGTCTTAGGTTTCTTCACCCAGTTAATGGGAGCTCATTTTTGTAATTCTAAAATTTCAAATTTATAGTCTCTGCCCTTACACACGGGTGTTATAGTTCACAGTTCAAAATATTGGAAATTATGTGAAAGAAAGTAAGCTAATTCTTAAAATTATCTATTTTAAAAAGATTTTTTGGGCCTCCCCGGAGGCGCAGGCAGTTGAGTGCCGCACTGTGAAGCTGTCCACAGCCTCTGCAGCACCAGTTTGATCCAAGCCAGCTGGTGAGGATCCCACATGGCACAGCAGACCTCTCCTACCACACCCGCTGCTCCCCTCAGCAGTGTATTTCGTCAGTCTGCCTGTTCTGTTCGCCGTTCTGTCTCTGGTGAATCCTCTCACCCTCCAGCGCATCTGGCCTGTGCCCCAGTTCTTGTATAAACAAACAAATAAATCTTTAAAAAATTCCATCAAAGAACATTATGAAAGAACACTCCTTACCTTGACAAAATGCAGCTTTTGTTCTTTCAGAGCCTGTGTCTATGCAGACATGTCTCTTTCCTGCACTTTTCCTCAATCACCTTCCTGTGTGCTGATGACAGGGAACATTACTGAATGATTTCTCAGAGGATCCAAGAACCCCCCCCCCAATACTGAACCCCATCACCTGAATTCCATCAATGGGCTTTCAATTTTTAGCTTGAACTCATTTGTCAGTCCAAATGAACACATTTTGCCCTTTTTCAATTTTTACAATATTTATTGTTTTAATCAACAAGTTTCATCTAGTTATAGGTAAAAATAAAAAACAGTGGAAATAATAAGGCACTAATTCAAAGTCCAGACCCTTCCAGCTTTCAAATACAAGAGGTCTGGGGCCTCCCTTGGGATGCAAGGGGTTAAGCATGTAACCAACATAAAACGCTTACAAGCGATATAAATACAAAGGCTAAAAGTGAAACTAAGAGTATGTTAAGGCACCTGCAAACGCCCTGAGTGAACGTGGCTGCATCCACATTCTGAGTGTTAAAGGCTGATAAAAACAGATGGTACCTGGGCCTAAACCTGATAAGGATGTATAGAAGGAGTGGATTCATGAAGCAGTCTCGGAGCAGTCCCAAATCTGGTTCTGAGCTAAGGACTTGCCTAAGGCTCCTCTTCCGAGTCCAGCTCACCACTGGCCCCCTTTGGACTCAGACTGCTCTACAGCCAGAACCTCTCCTCAGTCCTCAGTTTGGCACACCACGAACCCAGACTCACTCCCCAGTTCTTCCTCCCACAAACTTGTCGCCTGCTCTCTGACAGCAGCACACGCTGCAGACCGGCTCCACATCCTGGGGACCATCCGGACTTCGGGCACTGGAGCCTAGAGACTTCCACAGCTGGAGGACTTTCCCCTGGGTGGAAGGCCTGGCTAAGACATTTTGTGGCTACTGTCTTCAGTCAGAGCTACGCTGGGAACTTGGGGTTGGGCTTGCCTATGTGAATGTGTGTGTGTGACCAATACAGTAATAAAATTCTCTTTGAGAGCCAACTTCTGACTGAAACCAATTATTAATCATGCTACCAATAAGTCTCAGCACTATCAAGCTACTGGCAGCCACTGTGGCATGAGTTCCATCCCCAGCCTGGGAGCTGGCAACATGGTGCAGCAGACCTCTCCTGTCTTGCCTGCTGTTCCCCTCAGAAGAGTATCTCTGCATCTCTGGCCTACAACCCCAGTCTTGTATGCACAAATAAATAAAAATTTTACAAGATAAACAAATACAAGAGGCCTGAAAGTTGTGCAATAACTATGGGAAGAAAAAGACAAAATTTTGAATGGTGCAATGATATTTCAAAAAACAAAATTTGAAATAACTGATAAAACCTTCCTGCGACTAGTTCATTGCCTTTGCAAAAAGAAATATAGAACATAATAGAACGAAAATCCTGTATTCCAAGTCAACTTGTTACAGATCGATATAAATCTAGGGTCCTGCCACACAGAACACTTTCATTTTCTGTCTCATCCTAGAAATGAAAACATGATTATTTCAGCGGAGGTTCCATCATTGACAGGAAAGATGGTGGTATCAAAATTTATATTGATTCTTTTGTGGTAGTTCAACAGTGGTTTTATTTCTGGGTAAACTTGTAAACTGTACAAGGTCAGAAGTTTCATAAATGAAAAGGGTGCTAAGGCTCAAGGAAAAGGAAGAAAGAAAAAAAAAAAAAACAGGGCCTCCCTGGTGGCGCAAGGGGTTAAGGCACAACTTATGAAGCTGTCAGCGACCACTGCAGCATGAGTTCGATCCCCAGTCAGGGAGGAGACCCACATGGCGCAGCAGACCTCTCCTGACTCACCCACTGCTCCCGCTAGCAGTGCATTTTGGTCAGTCTGCCTGTTCTGTTCCCCACTCTGTCTCTGGTGAATCCTCTCACCCCCCCCCACACCTCTGGCCTATACCCCAATTCTTTTATGCATAGATAAATAAAAATCTTAAAAAAAACCCACTGGGAATAGCAGGAAGTGTTCAAGGAACCAAAGAATGCCAACAATATTTAACTCCCAGTTTTTTAAAAGGGGATTTTATTTTTGGCTAAAAAGATACCCTTTAAATGAATGTTGTCTACTGTCAATGAAAGGAAGCCACTGACACAGAGCAGACAGCTGTTGCCTTGTCTTCCATGACCTTTATTATTTGTGACCTGGTGACTTTCAAGGTAGCAAAAATGGCAACAGATATTCTAGTCTCAACCCATTTGAGCAATGTTGAAATGGAATTGCACACAGGCCCACATGGGCCTGGCCATTTGGATATCCTCACCAACATTTCCACCTCAGACGTAAGGACACTTGAGCCTTCCCCCATTCATCTTATAATTTTTACATTGTCACCATCTTTGGAGGAAATGTGGACTATTTACCTCTATCTCACTTTGAATTTCCACACCGTCATGATGCAGCGGGACCATCGGGTGGGTGTTGCCACTGTGAGTCCCGTCCTCTCCTGTCCAGGCTCCCCAAAGACTTAGAGTGAAGTCCTGGCCTGGGCCTGCAGGGTGGGGGGGGAGAGTTGAGGGGGGGAAACGGGGTGGGCAGGGGTGGGGGCAGGAACCTGGTCCTACAGGACCCAGCAGGGAAGCACCCTCTGTGCTTCCATCTGGGCAAAAGGGGAGCCCAGAGGGAGGGGAGACTGAAGAGCATCTCCTGTGGGTGGCCGATGGCAGAGTGGGGGGAAACAGTCGGGAGGACTCAGGGGAGGGAGGGCTGGATGTGGAAAACTGCCAGGCTCTGGCAGGTTGTGTTTTGGGCACGGAGGAGCACAGAGGTCTGGGTTCACTCCTGAGCACCCAACTGGGTCAGAACCCACACCGTGAGGGGGGGTGCAGGAGACCCACGGAAGCATGAAGGTCTGATCACTGCTGTGCTCTGAACACTCTGAGCGGAGGACTCAATGGAACAAGGTAAAAATGCACCACGGTCCACCCAGGAGCTCGCCCTGCAGCTGTGTCCACCACACCTGGGTCCTGCTGGAGCTGGTCGCAGCCTGGGACAGAAACATCTGGTTCCTCCCTTTCCTCTCCCCAGCGAGGCAAAGATAGGAGGACATGAACCAGTCTGCCCAGGACAGCAGCAATGTGCCCTTGCTCGCCAGGTACAAATTCAGACCCCACGTCCAGCTTCCGAAAGGACAGTCCACGGATGAGTGGGTTTGGCCCAAACTTTTCCAGCAGCGAGTGACCAGCCCACAATCAGGGATTGTGGATTTTACAGACACACATGACCAGTGACATGGTTCTACCTCTATTATCAATTTCATGTTTTCCAGTATCATGTTTTGAATTTCCTGACTTAATTCCTCTCCTTGATTCCTTTATAAAGCACACTGGCACTATCCTGCAATTAAGTCACTTAAGTGCAACTTTCTCTGGTGGCACCATGAAGCAGATCACAAAAGAATGATTTTACTTAGAGTTCCATCAGTGGAAAGGTGGAAGAATTTCCTAATATTATATGATCAATAATTGTCATCTATTATATGATAAAATGCCTTTGCCTTTCAATCTGAAATATTTCTTCTTCATCTGGAGAACAGACCTACTTTGTCTTTTTAGAATTTATAGAAAATAATGCCAACGTTTTTTATTAACACTCTGTTTTATGAATGTTCTATAATTGGGAAAAAATAACATAACTAGATGGGACTTACTATTTGTATACAATTTACAGATTCAATGCAATTTCAATGAAAATTTAAATGGTGTTCTTCAACAAAATGGAACCACAACTGTTCAAATTCATATGGAATTGCAAAACCTCTAGTAGCGAAAGTTGTCCTTACTAAGAGGGAGGAATAATGGAGGTCTTACACTCCCAGACAGCCAACAATACTACAAAGCTATTATAATAAAAACTGTGTTGGGACAAAAACAGACGCAGAGACCGATGGAATCAAATTTAAAGCCCAGAAATAAAACCACACATATATGGTGAACTAACCTCTGACACAGGAGCAAAGAATATACATTGGAAAAAAATATCCTCTTCAATAAATGATGCTGGGGAAACTGGATTGCAACATGCATAAAAATGGAACTAGACCACTACCTCACACCATACACAAACCAACTCAAGTGGATGAAAGACTTGCATGTTAAACCTGGCACCATAGAATTTACAGAAGGGAACATAAGCAAACACTCAATGACACAATCCTCAGAAACATCTTTGAGGATTCTTCTCCAGAAGCAAGGAAAACCAGGGAGAATGTAAATAGTTGGGGTTACATCAACCTAAAAAATCTTCAGAATAGCAAGAGACAGTCATCAAAACAAAGAGACACCCCGCTGAATGGGAGAGAATATCGGCACACCATATGACAGCTAAGGGACTGATATAAAAAATATACAAAGAGGGCCTCCCCCGTGGCACAGCGGTTGAGCGCTGGGTTGTGAGGCTGCCTGCAGCCTCTGCAGCGCTGGTTCAATCCCCGGCTGCTCCCCCTCCACCAGAGGAGGGTCCCACATGGCACGCAGACCTCTCCTGCTACCCGCTGCTCCCCTCAGCAGTGTACTTTGGTCCTTCTGCCTGTTCTGCTCCCCGCTCTGGTGAATCCTCTTACCCTCCCACGCTTCTGACTGTACCCAGTGCTTGTATAAATAAATAACTAAATAATATATATTTAAAAAAATATACAAAGAGCTTACACGACTTAACAAAAACAAACAACTGAGTCAAAAAAATGGGCAGAAATAAAAAGATACTTTGCCAAAGAAGAAATGCAAATGGCCAACAGGCACAGAAAAAACATTCAGCATCACTAATATCAGGCAAACGCAAATCAAAACCACAATGAACGACCACCTCACTCCAGTGAGAAGGCTCCATATTTAAAAAAAAACAAACAAACTGGCAACAACAAATGCTGGAGAAGCAGTGGAGACAAAGTCGTCTCTGACACTGCTGGTGGGAACGCAAACTGGTCCAGCCACTATGGGAAGCTTTGTGGAGGTTCCTCAGAACACTGAAAATGGGTTTACATAGGATCCAGCATTCCACTCCTAGGAATCTACCTAAGGGACAAAAGCAAAACAAAACAAAACAGGAAACTTGAACTCCTGTGTTTATTGCAGCCCTATTTACAGTAGCCATGACATGGAAACAACTCAAATGCCAGAAAACAGATGAATGGATCAAATGTTGTGGTATAGTTACACAATGGAATATTACTCTGCAATCAAAAAAGACAAATTCATGCCGCTTGTGGCAATATAGATGGAGCTGGAAGGGATGATGCTAGCCACAATAAGGCAGGAGAAAGATAAACATCAGATGGTTTTGCTTACATGTGAAAGGGAAGAGCACAAGGGATTATGGTGATGGTCATGGCTGCTATGGTGGTAGGAGCGCTGTAGGGACCACCCCTGAGGGGAGAAACCAATAACTAAAAGTATGAACAATGTAAGAAAAGAAAAAAAAAGAGATGAGCTTTAAGGACAGGGAAGACCCTAAGACAATATAAATAAATAAATGCTCTTAAAGGGGTTCTCATCCTGAACAATACTGCAGGATGAGACTTTGGACTTTCTAGTCAGGGATGCCGAGGCATCCCCTCCTCATCAATTGTTCTAGATCTCCAGGAATTTTCTCTGGTAGTTGCAGCAGTTAAGCCTGCTGTATGGGAATAATTAGAAAAAGGCAATTGTTTTTTTTAAGATTTATTTATTTATTTATACAAGCACTGGGCACAGTCAGAAGCCCGGGAGGGTGAGAGAATTCACCAGAGCCAGAGTGGAGAGCAGAACAGGCAGAGTGATGAAGTACACTGCTGAGGGGAGCAGTGGGCGGCAGGAGAGGTCTGGGCACCATGTGGGACCCTCGCCGGTGCCCGGGGATCGAACCGGTGCTGCAGAGGCTGCGGGCAGCTTCGCAACCCAGTGCTCAACCTCTGCGCCACTGGGGAGGCCCTAGCAAAAGGCCATTGTTTTTAAAGATTTATTTATTTATACAAGAACCGGGGTATAGGCCAGATGCACGGGAGAGTGAAAGGATTCACCAGAGACAGAATGGGGAACAGAACAGGCAGACTGACTGAAATACACTGCTGAGGGGAGCAGCGGGAGAGACAGGAGAGGTCTACTTGCCATGTGGGTTGCTTCGATGCCGGCGGGGATCAGACCAGCTCTGAAGAGGCTGGGGACAGAACACTGCACTGCACTCAACTGCCTGCACCACCAGGAAGGCCCTTGAAACCTGTCACTTTTAATGGCCAATAAGAAGTTTAGAAATTTTGCAACCATCTGGCAAGCTTCCTTTATAGCTGACTAGAAAGTCCAAAGTAATTTTGACAAAACCAACTGAGCCTGATCCCAGAAGTCCCCGAGTGTGATCCAAAGAGGCCAGCGAATTCAGAGGAAGAAAAGGCCTCCTTCAAGTGGAGAACATTCTCTTCAGCTTACTGACATCCCATTTTCACAGTGCCTGGTAGATACTGAATTAGCTGTTTGACTAAACACATAAAAATAAGAAAAAAACCAAACTTTTAAATAACAAAGACCAGATACTTGCCTGAATTCCTTGTTACAGGGAGAGGATGTCCTGCTAATTCCATACAGGCTTTGTGGACTCCACCCCCAAGCCAGACCAAAGCCCTCAAGACTTTGGGAAAGACAAATCCCATCACCACCAAAGGGAAGGTTGCTGGGACCTGAGGTGGGATTAAGCAGCCAGGTTTGGTATAAAAACCAGACACGTGGGCCTTGGGCTCTCTCTTCTTGGCTTCACGGCTCCTGGCTCGGGATTCCAGATCGATGGAACAGGTAGGAAGCATTTTATCTCCCACTTTTCTCCCTGAGTTGTACATTTCCTCATTTCCCTTTCCCTTGTAAATAAATCTTTTATTAACCTTTTGTGTGTGCCTGCAGTGGTGTATTAAGTCCCTTTTAAGCGCGCGGTGAGGACCCACAGTCAGGCTAACCATTTTATAACGGGGCTGTCCTGCAACAGAACCAAGCCCTAGGCCCTTGGTCTTGTATCACCAGCCATTGAAAGGGCCAACTTGGCTAGGACCTTATAATCTTTAACACGGGGAAGAGGGTATGTTTGTTTTATCACCTACAGGACCTGGGGTTCCAGCGGAAGCAGTGCACCCCTATCATGAGCTGGCATCAAAGAAGGACCAATCCTTTTCCAGAACTCCAGCCATAACATGGGGGAGACATCAAGCGCCTTGCATCATCAGTGGAGACACTACTGGCTCAGCAGGCAGTACCTGCCACATCAACTAACCTCTTTGTGGCCTTCATATCCTGTCTCTTGGCTAATAGCAACTTGGTAGCTTTAAGTGGGCCCATGTTACGAATCCTCCAGCCTTTCAAATCATAGGTTGGAATGACCCAAAACCACACGTGGGCACTAATGTTTTCTTCCACTCTAGGTAGACCAGAGATACCTGGTGATGTTGACTATATTCCCTGTCCATAGCCTACTTGCTCCCTGGACTATTCACTCACCAGTACAGGCTATTCTAGACACCCATCTCCTTATTGTGCTACAATTTCTTCTCAGTAGTATACCGATGAAATTCCCCCAAAATCTTCTGACCTGTCAGAAGTAACTGTTAATCATCAAATCTTCATCCACATGGCAAATGTGGGTATGTATTTCCTCTTAACTAAGGACATTTCAAGGGCTCCATCAGTACCTATATGCCATAGCCCTCAAAAAGTGCCAAAAACCAACCAACCCTTGCAATGGAAACTTCGCCGTGCTACTTCTGGCACCCTCACCTTTCTACAAGGTTAATGCATTGTACAAAACTGGGACCTCAGGGGCTCGTGGTCCAAGAAAATAATAAACATTACAAAGGGCACCCTTGGAACTGGACAATGCCATATGTATTCCAAAATGCTCCAGCAGATTGGAATCCAGGGTTGGCTGGCCCCCTATTCTGCCTATGTTGTAATGCTCAGTGTTCCCCTCTCAAAACAAAATCTTGGCGTGCAGATATACCTTATTTCTCAGATACCATATGCCAAGGTCCAGCCTCCTTTACCCAGGATTAACTTACTTGGAATTTTACTGGTAAACACAATTCTTCTAAGGCTTGCACTTCCCGTCCCTATCTGTTTCTTTTGTCTCCTACTCTTCTCTTACATACACAAGATAATATTACTTCCCCAAAAGGTACTATAGTCACCTCTTGTATTGATTCTTCGGTTTTATCCAAACACTCAATTTTCTTTTTTTTAAAGATATATTTATTTATACAAGAATCGGGGTACAGGCCAGCTGCACGGGAGGGTGAGAGGATTCACCAGAGATAGAGTGGGGAGCAGAACAGGCAGATTGATGAAATACACTGCTGAGGGGAGCAGCGGGCATGACAGGCAAAGTCTGCAGTGCCATGTGGGACTCTCGCCAGCTGGGATCAAACTGGTGCTGCAGAGGTGGCGCAGACAGCCTCACAGCATGGCACTCAATCGCCTGTGGCACCAGGGGAGGCCTCACTCAGTTTTCTTTATTAAACAGCACAGGCAGGTCTGGATTCCTGTCAACCTGACTTGTCCATGGGATGGTGGCTCCCCTTTAAATCAATTAGTTTAAGCCTTGGGCCAAGTCCGAGGTAACCAGCTGGGCCAGTTCAAAAAACAGACATCTCAAGAAACCATCGACGGCCTTTTGGCTTTTTCATCCCTTGCCATTCCACAAAATTGGTTATCCTGACAATCATTTGTCCAATTGCTGCTCGTTATTTTCCTCGCTGTTATTCTCTTTTTAATAAGATGTTCCTGCTATCATCTGGTGCAAGTCAGAAGACGCAAACGAGCAATGATGACTCTTCTGCCTGGCCTATTGCCAGCTTAGACCTCCACCCTTTTCCCCTTCCTCCCACCTTTCCTCTCTTTAATTAAAATAAAAAAGGGGCACATGTGGGTCTGCTACTCCTAAGTGACCTGTTCGGCCACCATTTTGTCACCTATAGTTCTCAACCCTAAGCAAGGTCAAAATGGCCTGGTCGGTTAGGTACAGGAGCCCAAGCCTCCAAGGTGCCCTTCAAATCAAACAAGAGTCACTGAAAGGTCGACGCAGGGCCAGGAATGAGGAAGCCCACATTGAAAAAATATAAGATGGCCCTGACACCAGTACCACTGACACCATCAAACCGAAAATGAAGCCATAAACAGGAGAAAAAACAACTTACAGGAGAAAAACAACTCGGCTCCACGAAAAACAACTTTGTTCCACCTAAACCTGTTTCTAGCCCTGCCAACCCAGTTCTCCCACATAACCTCTCCTCACCCTATAAGAATGACCCTTCCCCTGACAACTGGCACAACTTCACAGACCCCCACTTTGGGTCTGGGAAGCTCCCCTGGGGGGGCGCAATAAATCTTCCCTTTCTTTGAGAAAGTTTAGTCTGGCTCTCCTTTTCTTTACCACACCGAACCTCTCATGCACAAAGCTGGATCACGCTGGGAAGGCTATGCACGAGGTATGACCGGGAAGTGGGGGGCGAGGACCGATGTATAACAAGGGGCCCCAAAAGCTGATCAGTGGACCACCTTGTTGATAAGATCAAAACCATGCTGGGGGATTAGGGCATGATCTCAATGACAATACAGTCATCAAGCAGATGAGAAGTGCCTGGAGCACAGACTCACAATCTCTGATCTTCCACATTCTTCCCCTTTCTTTAATCTCCTTCCCCTTTCCTTTTGCTCCTCCCTCTTACAACCCACATTGCGTATCAATAAAAAGGCCAGGATCTTGCTCTTCAGCAACCTCCTGCATAATGTAGCCTGCTCCAAGACTCCTGTTTATCAGTGTGGGGTTGCTCGATGCAACAAAGGGTGCCTGAACAGGGACCCCCAGCACCCCGCTTTGTCAATACCCTTTGGCAGTACAGTTTTCCGGCCGACAGAGGGACCTGGGGTAGTGCTCGCTTCCGCCAAATAATGAGACTACAAATCCTATGTAATCTTAACAGGAAGTTACAAGGTCTACGGAAAGCACATGCACAAGGCAAAAGCTGGTGCATATGCAACGCAAAGTGCATGTGCAGGCCACGTAAAGTGCACGTGCAGACTTTCCTATATATAGCCCTGCCCCTCGGTAATAGCAGTCCTGCTTCCAGCCAAGTGAGTAGACGTGTCCTTCATCCCCAGCCCCTCCGCCATGTTCCTGAACCCGGTCGGCCTGCGGGACGGACCGACACTGCTTCTAAAGCCTGGAGAAGGGAATTGGACGTCCTCTCAAGCTTGGCCCAAAGGCTTCACAGACCCAGAGTCTGTGCTGACACCCTGAGGCTGCTGGATGGCAGCGGGCAGTGCTAAGCGGTGCAGGTGTCCAGAAGAGGCTCCCACTCCTGTGGGGGCCCACGTAGGCGACCCCACCCACGCCTCCCCCCTACTAGGGGCAGTGCCCACCGCCTGACCGCAGAGAGCCTCGCGGGCATGGGCTGGTGGCCACACCAGGTGGTAGGAGCCTCGCTGCCTCCACGCCTTCTTTGGGGGTGGAGGGCGTGGGGGAGCTCTCCCTCTGAGGTCGGGGGTCGCCCCCGGAGAGGGCTGGCGCGGGGCCTCCCCTGCTTGGCCAGGTGCCGCCGTGCTTCTCTAGCATCTGCAACTCACCTCCGCGGCCCTCGGCGGGCCCGCTGCTCCTCGCGTGCACGGTGGCCCCGCACATCCACGCCGGCCCCCACTGAGGCTTCTGAACGCCTCTCTGGCCCGCCCCTGGGCAGCCGGGCGGCGGCGGCCTGTTCCTTTGAGGAGCGACGGCCGGAGCCTCACCGCTTCCTCGACGTGGCTTCCTTCCTGGCTTGAGACTCTCACAGCCACGTCCGCCTGAATCCTTGGAGCCGGACACATTGTGACCACCGTCCCCCCTCCTCCCCCCTTCCCCTGCCCTCCCCTCCCCTTCCCCTCCCCCTCTCCCGCCCTTGCTCCAGCCGTGGAGGAACTGCCTGGGGGGCCACGTGACCGAAGTGATGACGTACACTTTGGGCTCCTTTTGCGCAGAACTGGGCATTGGCTCACAGGGGTCAGGCCCGCTCCTCCCCTTCCTTAACGCCTCCGGCTGCCCCTGGCAACTGCGCCGGTCACTCCGCAGCCGGAGGGAGCCGCGCGGCGATCGCCCCGGAGCGACGCCCAAGGGGAGGGCGGCAGCAAGGCCTGGACGCAGGCGCCGACTCGCGTGACCCTCCGGTGCGCGGGGAGGAGGTGATTCCCGTGAGATCCCGGGCCGAGGCCACCGCGGCCCGGCGCCCGCCCGGGACCCGCAGCCCACCCCGCCTGCCTAGTCCGGTCCCGGCCCTGCAAGGCCCCGCGCTGCCGCGTCCTCTCACCCGGGGAGTCTGTGGCAGGCTCCAGGGGCTGCGGGAACCCTGGAAGGGGCTGGGGACCCCTGCGCGGTGGCGGCCGGGGACCGGAACCTCTCGGGCTCCCCTAGCAGGCTCTGGGCGTAGGCCTAGGCCCGCACAGTGGGTGCCCGAGGGCCTCAGGCCCAGCGTTGCGGGGGTTTTTCTGCCTTTGGGGATAAGCGAGAAGGACCAGAAGGGATGGGGAGGGCAGCGGGCCGCACCTTGGGTGGGCGATTCAATTGCTTAGGGAGGGATTTAGGGCTCAGGAGGGGCCAGGAAGGACCTACTTTTCTTCTTCTTTTTTTAAAATTTTTTAGAGAGTTTTTTAAAATTAATTTATTTATACAAGCACTGGGTACAGTCAGAAGCACGGGAGGGTGAGAGAATTTACCAGAGCCAGAGCGGGGAGCAGAACAGGCGGATTGACCAAAGTACACAGCTGAGGGGAGCAGTGGGCAAGTCAGGAGAGGTCTGCTGTGCAATGTGGGTAGCTTCCTGGCCGCCCGGATCATTCTGTGGTGACTGCCATTAGCTTGATAGCGCTGTCTGAAACCCCTGTGCCACCAGGGAGGCCCAGAAGGACCTATTTCTGCCATCATCTTGCCAGGTGGCCCTCCAACAACCTGTGACTCAGTTTCCAGTGGTGTCCCTGGGACATCATCTACTCTGCAACTGGGCAGCCCCCTGGGAATGCTGTTTTGAAATCCGCTTTTCCACTGGGTCCGGGTTCCCTCAGGCACAATGTCAATTTCTTGCCCCTGGCCAGGCTGGTGGAATGTGTGCAATGCTTTGAACTTCCAGATCAAGGTCCAAGTAAGTGACTACATGTTGAAGATCAGCTCCGGCAAAATGTCGGGTCAGGTGTCCCTGAAAGGATGAGACAGCGTCGGCCAAACTTGAGAACTGAGGGGAGAGGAGTGAGGCAGACATAGACACTCTATTTGGTGCAAGTGTCTCCTCCTGAGGGTCTCAGCTGGTCTTTATATATTAAGGCAAGCGGTAGGATTACATCATCGTATGCATAGAAGCAAAACAGAAACAATCAGTACATTCCTTTCCCATAGACATTTGGCGCCTATGTGTTTTGAGAAAAGAGGTGACCTTTAAAGTTAATAGATAATTAAAACTGAGACTCATTTCAGCCTAAACAACTCCCTAAGACAGCTAATGGTCCTTGGTACATCCCTATCCACCAAGGCTACAATATCAGGAGACTCCTCTATCTATATGGCCTGCAGCTAGAGACCAGTTGCTTCCTGGTTATCAGTTTTCAGAACTTTTTTCTATCTAGAAACTCCTAGCATAATCAACTTTATGAATCATTAGAAGGCTTCTGTACGGAACTCCCATATAAGGAAAATTGTGGCCAGCTCTGGGTTGCTTATCAGGCATGCCCTTGCACAATAATTATTTCCCATTGTCAAGTCGGCCAAATTATTCAGTGCTTAATTTTTAAGAAGATAATTCTCCATGCCATGCATTTACAATATTCTTATACGTATAATTTATTGCCCAATGTATTTGCCGAGAAGTTCTTTCTTATTATGAGCAAGAACAAAAAACAAAGGGATGTTTAATCTTCAGACCCATGGAGTGAGGCTCTTTAAAAAAGTCTTCGGCCCCATGGCGTGAGGCCCTTTTCTTCAGCCCCACGGTGTGAGGCTCTTTGAGCTTCGGCCCTATGGTGTGAAGCCCTTTTCTTTTTTTTTTTTTATTTAAATATTTTATTTTATGTAATTCTTACATCTTTTTTCATCTTTGCACAATGTATGCATTTTCATTTTGGTTATATTCTGCATACAATTGCACCCCCCTCCCTTATTTTGACTCTAGTCCTTCCTTTCCCCATCCCTCCCCCCCCCCCGTAGTGTGTCTCTGTTTTATAGTTGCTTGTTGATTTTGATTTTTACTTTGTATTGATTAGTCTTCTTCCTGGTCTCTTATTTAGGTTTTCTAAATTCCTGCTATGAGTGAGACCATCTGGTATTTTTCTTTTTCTTTCTGGCTTATTTCGCTGAGCATGATCCCTTCTGGCTCCATCCATGTTGCTGCAAACTGCATGTGTTTATCTTTTTTGATTGCTGAGTAATATTCCATGGTGTATATGTACCACATCTTCTTGATCCAGTCATCTATTTTTGGGCATTTGGGTTGTTTCCAAAGCTTAGCTATTGTAAACAGTGCTGCTATAAACATAGGGGTGCAGGTGTTCTTTGGAATTGAGTTTCTGTGTCCTTTGGGTAAATACCTAGGAGTGGAATTGCTGGATCCTATGGAAGCTCTATGTTTAGTAGGTCCAGAAATCTCCACACAGCTCTCCATAGTGGTTGGAACAGTTTGCACTCCCACCAGCAGTGCAGGAGAGTTCCTTTTTCTCCACATCCTCGCCAATATTTGTTGTTGCTAGTTTTTTTTTTTAATGTTTCTTCTCTAATTTTTTTAAAAAGATTTATTTATTTATTTATTTATATAAGCACTGGGTACAGTCAGAAGCGCAGGAGGGTGAGAGAATTCACCAGAGCCAGAGCAGGGAGCAGAACCGAAGGACCGAAGCACACTGCTGAGGGGAGCAGCGGGCGGCAGGAGAGGTCTGCGCGCCATGTGGGACCCTCCTCTGGTGGCCGGGGAGCAGCCAGGGATCAAACCAGCGCTGCAGAGGCTGCGGGCAGCTTTGCAACCCAGCGCTCAACCGCTGTGACACTTGGGAGGCCCTGTTGCTAGTTTTTTTTAATATGTGCCATCCTGGTGTGAGATGGTATCTCATTGTAGTTTTGATTTGCATTTCCCTGACTGCAAGTGATGTTGAACATTTTTTCATATGCCTGGTGGCCATTTGCATTTCTTCTTCAGAGAAGTTTCTTTTTAGCTCTTCTGCCCATTTTTTGACTGGATTGTTTTCTTAGCTGCTTGCCAGTGTCTTATCTGGCTGAGGCAGCAAGACCCACTGCAGCAAGTACAGAACTTCTTGGGCTGTTTCATACAAAACGGTAAAAGTAATTTGTCTCGGGGGGCCTCCCAAGTGGCGCAGCGGTTGAGCGCTGGGTTGCGTAGCTGCCCGCAGCCTCTGCAGCGCCGGTTCGATCCCTGGCTGCTCCCCGGCCACAGGAGGAGGGTCCCACATGGCGCACAGACCTCTCCTGCTGCCCGCAGCTCCCCTCAGCAGTGTACTTCGGTCCTTCTGCCTGCTCTGCTCCCCGCTCTGGCTCTAGTGAATTCTCTCCCCCTCCCGCGCTTCTGACTGTACCCAGTGCTTGTATAAATAAATGAATAAAAATAGATAAATCTTTAAAAAAAAGATTTATTTATTTATGCATACAAGAGCTGGGGTACCGGCCAGAGATGTGGGGGATGAGAGGAGTCACCAGCGACAGAGTGGGGAACAGAACAGGCAGACTGACTGAAATACCCTGCTGAGGGGAGCAGCGGGAGAGTCAGGAGAGGTCTGCTGCGCCATGTGGGTTGCTCCCTGGCCGGCCGGGGATTGAACTCATGCTACAGAGGCTGTGGATGGCTTCACAGTGCGGTGCTTAACCTCTTGCGCCACCAGGGAGGCCCCTCTTCCAGCCTCTGGTGGCTGCTGACACCCTTGTGCTGTGGCCACACCACACCAGCCTCTGCCTCTGTCTCCACCTCGCATGTGTGTGTGTGCTTGTGCACGTGGTTGTGCACACCTGAGCTCACACATGCCAGGAGGCACGGCCATCACCACCTGGCCCCTCGCTAACTCTGTGGATATTTAAATGTCAGGTGCTCTGTGGGACCCGGCAGCCTCCTACTACAAAAGCTTCCTGATTTCTGGTGCCAGAGGCCTTGGAGCTGATGAAACAGGCCGCGCGGGAGTCATCAGGCAGCACCCAGCAAACGCTGCTTATGTCCGCCACGTTCAAGCCTGTGCTTTAAACTGTTGATACCGTCACACCTTCCTGGTTAGTTTTCTCCATGGTCCCTTGCTGCCTCCTCACACCTCCTGAGGATTTGTTGGTTTGCTTTCGCCCCCTAGTCTGGGGGGTACAGTCCCCTGGCACGGGGGTCCCTCCAGTTCTTCTCAGCATCCTCTTGGCTCCCTGGGTGTGCCTGGAAGGCAGAGGTTACTCCAGATGGGTGAAGGACCAGGGGTCCCAGCCCCTGTAGCGGGGCTCTCTTACTGGTTTATGTTTCTCCTTTTCCCAGTTTGCCCCAGACCCTTGGCCTGCCCAGGACACCATGTGCCTGCTGCTCCTGCTGCTGCCCCTGCTGCTGCTGTTCCCGGCCACCGATGCCTACTCTGGGGACTTAAGTAGCCGCAACAGCTCTGTCGGCCAGGGCGTGCCCTCTGAGTCCCATCAAGGTGGGTGGCCTCTCTGGCCAGGCTCTGCTCCACAAGGTGCTAAGATCTCCTCTGCCTCCTGCCAAAAAATTCAGGCTCCAGGCCTGGACTGGGATGGGGCGTGAAGACGGCAGCCCCTTCCCATGGGCCCTGGCTGTGCACCAGCCTCCTTCTACGACAGTGCAGGAGATGGCTCCGTGCCTGAGTCTGCTACCCCCTGGGCAGGGCGCCCCCGGCCTTACAGGACAAGCCCTGGTGCCTTTTAGTCCTGCCCACTTTTCAAGATGTGGTTTAAACATGACCTCCCCTGGTCTCCCCAAGGGGAAAGGAGGGCAGGGTGAGACAGATGTGACTTTGATCTGGATGTTGCCTCTCGTGAGCTTTGTGGCTTCGAGCACCTACTGCAGGGGGCAGCCCCTAAGACCCTCGGTTCCCTCCTCCTGCGCTTGGTGTGGCTTTTGATCACCCTAGTCACTTCGTAGAACAGTGTTCTGAGTTGGTGGTGGCTGTGCGCCTGCGTGGCTGTGGAGTGCTGTCTGGGTTATGACCTAGGGGGACACTGACTTCAGCTGGAGGCCTCAGACATCTCTGCTAAGGAAAGTGGGGGCATGACCTCTCCACTGCCACAGGCCCTGCCACTCCTGTCTCAGAGTCTTCTGTGCAATCCAACACCGGAGCCTGGCGTGGGGGTGGGAGGGTGGCCCTGCTCAGAGGATGCATTCACTGCAGCAGAGCCTCACCTGCACCCCACTCTCCCCCCAGGCCCCCTCAGCAGCAAAAACCTGAAACTGGAAATCCCGAAGGAGCCCCAGTTCTTCCACCCGGGGGACAACGTGACCCTGCCCTGCTGCTACCACTATGAGCCGGCCCTGGCACCCCCCCCAGCCCGTACTCATCAAGTGGTGGAAGCTGTCGGAGAATGGAGCCCCTGACCAGCACGTCCTGGTGGCTGTCGGGCCAAGATACCGCTCCTTTGGGGACTACCACGGCCGGGTACGCCTGCAGCAGGGCGGCCAGGGGGACGCCTCGCTGGAGATTCGGGACCTGCGGTGAAAGGACCGCGGGCGCTACCGCTGCGAGGTTGTTGACAGGCAGGAGGACCAGAGTGGCTTGCTGGAGCTGGAGCTGCAAGGTGAGGCCTAGCTGGGGCCGGGGCCAGGGGGCTGCAGGGAGCACATCCCTGAGCTCGTGAGAATCATTTGTGTGGGGACACAGCAGCAGCCAGAGAAACGGGGCGCCCTCCCACCATTCCTGGGGCTGCCAGGACTGGGATGGGGAAGAAACTAGGCATAGACTGCGCTGGAGACACAGGACCTCTCGGGCTGCTTGTCCAGGCCCACAGGCCTCTCCGGCCCGTAGCCTGGCTGTGTCAGGGACCCTGCCTCCCTCCCCAGGTGAGGTTGGGGTGCGAGGCCAGGATCTCCTCAGACCCCTGGCCGCCTGCTTAGAGGAGAGTCCCAGCAGTCCAGACCCCAAGGAGGACTGCATCCCAGAGATTTCAAAGCCTTCTATGAGGGTGACATTTCAAACACAGATGGTGAATTGTGACTCCAAACCCTGGCCCCCACCCCAGGACCTCCCTGACCTCCAGGGCCCTTCTTCCCTCCCTCCCCAGGTGTGGTCTTTCCATACCAGCCCTGCCAGGGACGCTACCAACTCACCTTCCCCGAGGCCCAGCGCGCCTGTAGGAAACAGGGGGCGGCCGTGGCCTCCTTCGAGCAGCTGTTCCGTGCCTGGAAGGAGGGTCTGGACTGGTGCAACGCAGGCTGGCTGCGAGACGCCTCGGTGCAGTACCCCATCACGCGGCCGCGGGAACCCTGTGGAGGCCTGGGCCTGGCGCCCGGCTTGCGCAGATACGGCCCCCGCCTCCCCCACCTGCACCGCTATGATGTCTTCTGCTTCGCTGTGGCCCTCAAAGGTGAACAGCTGCCCTGCTTGCGCCGGGCCACCTCCATTTGTAGGTCTGTCTGGGGCTCCACCATGGTGAAACCAGTTCCCCCCAACTCTGTGTGCTTTGCTGCTGTGCCTGCTCTGGGCCAGACCAGGATCCCGGCATCACCAAGAGCTGCATTCCATGGGTGATAAACTAGTTAAAGGCAAATTGACCCAGAGCTGTAGACATGCGCTGGCACACAGTAGGTGCTTAGGCAGTGGCTGTGAGGACAAGACACCTGCTTGATCGGTCCTGCCAGTCAGAGGTGGGATGCCACCCAGAGTGCAGCCAGGGGAGGACTGGGGACCCAGACGAGACTGGAGAGCTCCCTACCCCGTGGCTGGTGGGATGGAGCCCCCAGAGAGGGGGTGAGGACTGGGAAGTCCCCCCCCGCAAAGTGCCCACTAAGACACTTAGCATGGCAGCTCTCAGGCTCAGACAGTTGTCAGACTTTAGGGGGCCAGCTAAAGGGGTGATGTCTGCACTGATGATAGGCTCAGCTGTCCCCTGCCCCAGCTGCCATCTCAGCTGCCCTCTCTGCTGCCCGGCCCTCACACCGCCTTTCCTGCAGGGAAGGTGTACTATCTGGAGTACCCCAAGAAGCTGACTCTGGCGGAGGCTTGGGAAGCCTGCTGGGAAGATGATGCCCAGATCGCCAAAGTGGGCCAGCTCTTCGCCGCCTGGCATTTCCAGGGCCTGGACCGCTGTGATGCTGGCTGGCTGGCGGATGGCAGTGTCCGCTACCCCGTGACTCACCCACGCCCCAACTGCGGGTCCCTGGAGCCCGGCGTCCGGAGCTTTGGCTTCCCGGACCCACAGAGCCACCGTTACGGGGTGTACTGCTACCGGCCCCGCTAGGCCGTCTGCCCCCCCACCCCCCGCCACCTCTGGGCCCTGTTTACTGGGTTGGGTGATGTAGATGGCAGACACAGGGCAGGTTTTCTGATCCAGCAGACGGGGTAAGGAGGAGAGGGTCCTGGAGCCCTCGGTGGCTTTCGCAGGCTTTTATTGGGATTTTCCAGGTACACGGCAGGCAGGAGTTCTGGGGGTCAGGGAGTCTGGCAGGCCTCCCAGCCCCCCAGCAAGTCTTCACTCTTTCTGGTCTCTCCGGCGTTCTCTGGTGGTCTCTGCTTCTCTATCTGCTCTCAGGGTTCTGCTTCTCGGTTTCTGCTGGCATCCCCGTGACGCCGCCCTTAAAAGCCCAGTCTATGCCCGGGTGAATCCCATCTACCTATGCCCACCCCCTATTCCAGGTGCCCACCATCAGGTGTGCATTCAGGATCGCAGGGTTCCGTCATCCATCCTAAGGGCGGTGTTACAGGAGAGGAGAGGCGCAGCCCAGACCCCCCAAACCTGCCTGCTCTAAATAGGCTCTGCCATCCGCTGCATCCACACAAAACATATGAGACGTTAGTGGGAAGGAACTTTAATACAATTAGGAAACAACACAGGAAAGGCAAAGAATCTAGTTTCTAAGTGAAGCACCCAAAGTTCCCCGTCCCCTCGTGGGTAAAAGTCCATCCAAGCAGGATTGGCCCAGAGCAAGGCCCCAAAGCCTGCCCCAAGTCTAAAGCACCTTCCAGTGGGGACCCACAGAAAAGGATCAGAAACAACCAGACAAGTCTGAAGGGAAAAGAGTAAAATCAAAATCAAGACAAAACCCACCAATGTCACCTCCCCACGGGTCTCACCCACATCTGTGTCACCCCATCCACGACCAAAAGCTGAGCGTAGATTCTTCACATGTCACTCCATTTCATGTGCCTCCCCCAGGTCTCCTTCTGGCTCCATCCTGCTTCCTTCCTTCCTCAGTCTCCTCTGCAGTTTCTTCTCTCCCTGCTCAGCTCCACCCTCCTTTTGGGTGGGGCAGGAAACCTGGAACCTCCCCCTTTCCTGGGGACCCCCCTGTGACAGTAGGAGGACAGAAAAGTCTAATATCTTTTACCTCACCCTACAGGTGGTTTTTAGATTTTTAGATTTTTAGACTGGTTTCAGGATTTTTAGACTTCTCAGACATTTCTTGAAAAAAAAAATTACTATTTTTGGGGCCTCCCTGGTACGCAAGGGATTAAGCACATCACTATGAATATGATAAAGATGCCAACAAAACTGCCAGCCCAGGTACAATGAACACTCCAACGCAGGCGTCATCAGTAAGTTTGCTGACTTACAGCTCCTCCCCTTTCAAGATTCACGGCCAGGGGCTCAGCATTCTTACCTACTAGGTCGGGCAGCCGGCCAAGCTGGTCTCTCTCCAAGGCCATCCCCGAATGCCTGCATCTTTCCCCCCTTGCCTTGCCCCTTGTCTGGGGACTTTGCCGCAAATGGTTGTGCCTGCTGAAACACGGTGCTCTCAGTGTAATAGGTATGGGTACATTTGTGTGTAAAAGGAACTCTTGGTCTTTATTTTTTAAATATTTGGGAATAGAATAGGCAGATTGACCAAAGTACACTGCCGAGGGGAGCAGCGAGCCAGTCAGGAGCTGTCTGCATGCTATGTATGTTGCTCCCTGGCCGGCAGGGGATCGAGCTCATGCTGCAGTGTCTGCAGACAGCTTCATAGGTTGCTTCTTAAACCTTGCAGCACCAGGGAGGTCCCAACCATTGGTCTTTATATATATATTTTTTAATAGAGGCATGTTATTTATTTATTTGTTTGTTTGTTTTTTTGTTTTGTTTATACATGCACTGGGTACAGTCAGAAGCGCGGGAGGGTGAGAGAATTCACCAGAGCCAGAGCAGGGAGCAGAGCAGGCAGAAGGACCGAAGTACATTGCTGAGGGGAGCAGCGGGCGGCAGGAGAGGTCTGCGCACCATGTGGGACCCTCCTCCAGTGGTTGGGGAGCAGCCGGGGATCGAACCGGCGCCGCAGAGGCCGCGGGCAGCTTTGCAACCCAGCGCTCAACCGCTGCGCCACCGGGGAGGCCCCAACAATTAGTCTTTAAACAGGTGGCTCATATATTTCAGGCTCCCCAGGGCTGGGACCTCATGCTTGAGTAATAAAGCTGCTCCGACCTCACCATTCCTGAAGTACCGCTAGTTATTCCTCTGCCTGGTAAAAGGCTAGAATTTATTTCTACAACGTTTTGGTGTGTTGGCCCTTTGAGCCATCAGATCAGGAGGACGCGGAGTGGGGAAGGGGAAGGAGAGCCAAGGAAGAGAAGCCTGGACTCTGACTTGGTTGCTCCTGCCCAGCCCCCACAATGCTGTCCCAGCCTGACCTCCAAAGGGCTGAGTGAGGCCAGGACTTGGTGCCGACGTCGGATCAGGCGAGGTCCCGGGACCCTGGCTCCCATGTGGCCTACCCAGAGTAGTAGAAGGAGAGGCTGATCACGTCTCAGGGAGGCCTCAAGGGTCTCATTTGGTTTTGGTCAGGAACCTTGGAACTCCCGGAAAAGGAGTGATGGTATGGTTATAACCACAGTGACAGTTGGCATCTCTATCTTAAATGTGTTCTTTTTATCATTATTTAAATAATAGTATAGTTCTATAAAACTGAGGATGTATAAGTTTAATAATGAAAATTTGTTGACTTGATGAGCTTTTGGCACATTTTTGCTGCTTGCTTTAGAAAAACTAAACTTCATTATCTCACCTAAAGGTATGAAACAAAACGTGTTTACGTATGAGTTCTCCAGTATAAAGGAATAAGAGTGTAACAGCACAAATGGTTGTGCCTGCCGAAACACGGTGCTGTCACTGTAACAAATATGGTCACAGTTGTGTATAAAAGGAACCCTTGGTCATTCTTCAAAGAAATAGAACAATTATTGATGAAATTCATATGGAATCACCAAAAACCCCGAATAGCCAAAGCTCTACTGAAAAAAAAAGAAGGAAATGGAGGCATCACACTCCCAGACTTCAAACTCTACTACAAAGCCATAATCATCAAAACTGCATGGTATTGGAACAAGAACAGACATACAGACCAATGGAATCAAATAGAAAATCCAGAAATAAACCCACAGATCTATGGTCAACTAATCTTTGACAAAGGAGCAAAGACTATGCATTGGAGCAAAGAAAGTTTGTTCAATAAATGGTGCTGGGAAAACTGGGTCGCTACATGCAAAAGAATGAAGCTTGACCACTACCTCACACCATACACAAAAATCAACTCAAAATGGATTAAAGAACTAGACATAAGACCTGAAACCATAAAATACATAGAGGAAATATAGGTGAAACACTACGTGATCTGCATATCAAAGACATCTTTACAGACACATCACCCAAAGCAGTGATAGTGAAGAGAAAGATAAACAGCTGGGACTACATCAAATTAAAGAGCTTCTGCACAGCAAAAGAGACAATAACAAAAACAAAGAGAAACCCCACCAACTGGGAGAACATTTTTGCACCCAACACTAATGATAAAGGACTGATCACAAAAATCTGCAAAGAGCTGATGAGACTCAACAACAACAAAGAAAATAACCCAGTCAAAAAATGGGCAGAAGAGCTAAAAAGAAACTTCTCTGAAGAGGAAATGCAAATGGCCAACAGGCATATGAAAAAATGTTCAACATCACTTGTCATCAGGGAAATGCAAATCAAAACTACCATGAGATACCATCTCACACCAGTGAGAATGGCACATATTAAAAAAACTAGCAACAACAAATGTTGGCGAGGGTGTGGAGAAAAAGGAACTCTTCTGCACTGTTGGTGGGAGTGCAAACTGGTCCAACCACTGTGGAGAGCTGTGTGGAGATTTCTGGACCTACTAAACATAGAGCTTCCATAGGATCCAGCAATTCCACTCCTAGGTATTTACCCAAAGGACACAGAAACATCAATTCCAAAGAGCACCTGCACCCCTATGTTTATAGCAGCACTGTTTACAATAGCTAAGCTTTGGAAACAACCCAAATGCCCAAAAATAGATGACTGGATCAAGAAGATGTGGTCCATATATACAATGGAATATTACTCAGCATTCAAAAAAGATAAACACATGCAGTTTGCAGCAACATGGATGGCGCTGGAAGGGATCATGCTCAGCGAAGTAAGCCAAAAAGAAAAAGAAAAATACCGGATGGTCTCACTCATAGCAGGAATCTAGAAAACTTAAATAAGGGATCAGGAAAATGAATAACTATAAGAAAGTGAAAATCAAAATCAACAAAAAACTATGAACCAGAGACACTTTTTGGGGGGTGGGGGCCGGGAGGGGAGGGATTGGGGCCAGAATGGGGCATGTGCAGTTGTATGGGGGAATATAAAAATAAAATTTATTATTTAAAAAAAAAAAAAAAGGAACCCTTGGTCTTTAAACTGGTGCTCAGGCCTTACAGGGCTCCCCAGGTCTGGGATCTCATGCTTGAGTAATAAAGCTTCTTGTGGCCTCACCATTCCTGAAGTACCGCTTGTTCTTCCTCTGCCTGGGTGAAAGGCTAGAATTTATTTCTACAACAATATGGCCAAACAGACTTCTCCTGTCTCGCCCACTGTTCTGCTCCCCACTCTGTCTCTGGTGAATCCTCTCACTCCCTGTATCTCTGGCCTGTACCACAACACTTGTGTGCATAAGTAAATCTTTAAAAAAAATTACCATTTTTGGTACATCCAACAGATCCCAAACCCTCCTTTTATTCAGGTGGGTACCCCAAAGCTTCCCCCTCCAGGAGCCTGCCTGCCTCTCTCCTCTACGGCACTTGGGGTTGATGGGGCCTTGGGGCTCTCTGCCGTCCCTGAGTCCTGCCCCTCTCACCACCCCAGGGGGCTGAGGCCAGGGTGGGCTCCCTGACTTGGCCCGGGGGTGGGGAAGTGCCTCTGGGCTGGGTTTTGGGCCTTAAGTCTCTGGCCCCCTCCTACGTTTTTGCCACGCTACTGATGGCAGCAGGCCCTTGGCACTTGTGAAATCTGGGGAGGAATTCCCCACCCCACCCCCTTCCCTCCTGCTTCCCCTTAGTGGTGTTCTCATTCCCCCTGGCTGGGGAGCAGGCTCAGGTGTGCACTCTCTGGACAGTAAATGGTGCTGTGCCCCTTCCCCTCCCCGGCCTCCTCTGTCTCCTCCAACCCCAGGGCCCAGCTCCCTCCCTGTGGGCGCAGGGGACAGTCTGACCCCAGACATCACAGGCGGGTGGGGTCCATCTCTGGGGGGACCGGAGACCCCGTGGACAGCACCTTCAGGTGACTTGCTTCTGGATTTGCCTCCCCTCCCTCCCGCCGACCCCAGCCTGCTCCCCACTGTCCTCGCGCCCTAACCATGTGGCTGTGCCCCAGAGCATCTCGGAGGCCAGGGGTCTTGGGTCCAGCTCTCTCTGCCTCCCCTCCAGCCCCAGGAATTGGGGCTCTTGCCTCCGTGGAGGCTCCCCTGACAGTCACCTGTTCAGTCGCTGCTGCACGAGGCCCAGCGCCTCCCAAGCTGGCAGGCTGCAGCCACCTCCCTGGGGGCGACACAGATTCCTGGGCCCCCTGGACCTGCCCTCCAGGTTAGCACAGGGCTCCGGATTCAGACCAGGCTCAAGTCTGAACACCATGGACACAGCGGCTCTCCCAGTGACCAGTTCACTAGTGATTGGTTAGCTGGCTGCTGGGCCCGACCTCGCTGCCCCTCGCTCCTCCACTCTTGCTTCAGGGCTGTGGGTAACCTGGTGCATGTGGAGTCACTGCCCAATACTTAACCCACGCTCCTGGAAAGGTGCTGACCCACTCACCGGCCCACTCACCAGCGCCCCTGCATGTTCACACGGGCAGACTCAGCCCCTCAGTCTCAGGGCGGGGGTGGTGCCCACCTGGCCTCCTCTCTCGCAGGTGTGTGAGTCTGGGGAAGCATGGCTGGTGCCCTGTGGTCCCACCCGACAGCCATCGCTAGCGGCCAGCTGGACGGTTACCCCAGGACATGCAAGCCGGACCCCGTTTTCAGGCAGCAGCTGCATCCCCCTTATACATCCCGATTGTCCTTGGGCTCAGTCTGCCCCCACCCCCACTTCCCTTTGAGTGGCAAACTGGGGGAGCAAAGAACGAACTATATAGCAGTCACCCACCTTCTGCAGCTGTTCCTCAACTGTGCCAAATGCACATGTGCACACATTCCTTCGCACACTTACACACGCACACACAGAACCCATCAACCCCTCTGGAAAAGCGCGACAGCATTTGGGGCTGTCTGGGCTGTGCAGATGGGGTTCACACCAACGCGGGCATTTGATCGGGGTGCCTCCCTGCCACCACCCCTCCCAAGGGGCACTCAGGGCCCTGGCCCACGGCTGCCTTCTCCTTCAACCAAAAAAAAGAAGGGAAAAGAAAAGAAATCCGTCTCTTCCAATGTCTTTATTATTATTATAATTATCATAATCTTCAGTTTTCAAAAATATAAATAGGTGTGCGGAACCCTGGTGCCTGCACGGTCCCGGGGGTGGGGGGAGGGGAGGGGTGGGGGGCACCCCCACTGGGAGAGACGGGTCCCCCACCCAGCCCTGCCGAGATCGACACCTGCTGGGGTGGCAGACTCTGGTGAGAGGTGCTGGCCGGGGGACCCGCAGAGGGACCGCCCCCACACAGCTGGGACCCCCGGTGGCTGGGGCCAGTCCGGGGGAGCACACGCAGGCGGCGCCCTCAGCTCCTTTCCCTCCAGTACATTCGCTGCGGTTCTGGCCTCCGGGCCTCAGGCCTCGGCGGAGCCCTCCTCCCTCCCCCAGCTCTACCTGGAGGTCAATGAATGGCCATTGCACTGCTGTCCATGGAGTCGGGAAACAAAAATATCTTCTTTATTTAACTCGGCCCCGTCCCTCCCCTGTCCCTGCGCGGGTCTCTGGAAAGGCACAACGGGAGGTTGGAGAAATGTCTCTAGCTCAGTCCATGGCTTACGTTATGTTTGCTTTGCTTTGGCATTGGGGGGAATTAGATGCGTTTTTGGCGACTGGGGGCTGGGCGGGTGGGCGCAGACACAATGTGGGATTTGTTTTTTGCCGTCTTTAATGGAATTCCTTATATGACAGAAAGCGACAAGGAGAGGACACCGTGTGTGCAGCGCGGCCTGGCGAGGCTCCTGGGCTCAGCATCCCGGGTGGTCCTGGGGTCCCCTCAGTGGGCCGTGCCGGGCCAGCTCTGCCGTGGGGGCCGGGAGCTCCGCTTCTGTGGTCGCCGCTTGTAGGTGGCGGCTGCGAAAAGGGGTGGGATGATCCCGGTGACCCTCAGGAAGGAGACAGGGCTGGGCAAGCCTGCCCCCACCCGGGGGCCCCCTGCAGATACCTCGGGCTTGTGGGGCAGCCTGAGGCTTGAGTGCTTCCAGGGTTGGGTTTTTCTTTGGTCAAAGGGGCAGGGGCAGGGGCAGGGACTTGTGAGGGAGCTGGTCCCTGGCCTCACCGCCCCGAGGACCGGCAGGAGGCGGCCCTCAGGCTCCCGGGGAGGGGGCCAGTCACCGCTGTGGGGAGCAGGACGGGTTGGCAGAATGGAACCCAGAGCCGAGGGAGGGGGAGCGGGGTGCTCACTCACGGTCTGTGCAGGTGACTCGAGGCTCCTCCCACTGCCCGCTGGGCTGGCACCGGATGGTGGGCACATGGCGCTGGACGAAGCCCTCATGGCACTGGTACCGCACCAGGGAGTTGATCTCGTACCGGTCCTTTTTCTGCCCAAAGGTCCTGGCGTGCTCCACCGTGGGGGGCTCTCCGCAGGCCACTGGGGGGCAAATACTCATCAGTGAGGGCTCTCGTGGGGCCTCTGGGATGACCAGGACCAGCGATGAGAGGGTGTGGCCGCCCTGGTGGAGACGTGACAACCCAGAGCCCCAGGCACCATGCGAAAGGGAACTCTAGGCTGGATGCCCAGTCGGAACTCCCAGGAGAACGGCTCCCGCCCTGGCACCGCTGGCAGTGAGGCCCTGTGCCAGTGTCAGTGGAGCGGGAGGGCTGGCCCCCGGCCCGTGCCTTTTTCCCTCTCCCTGTCCCTAGAAATGGGCTTGCCCTGACCATCGCCCTGGGGTGCTGGCACTGGAGAGCCTCCCCCACCCCGGGCAGCTTCAACCTGCTTGTCTGGCGCCAGAAGGGCCTCGCTGGCAGCCTACAGTTCTGACGCCACCTGCTGGCCTCTCCCAGGCGAGGCTCACCTGTGCCCTTTTTGCAGGTGAAGGGCAGGTGGTAGTTGCAGGGGACATCATTCCACTCGCCCTTCTCGTGCCAGATCATCACCACGCAGTCCTCGCCCGTGGCGAAGAAGTTGTCGGGCTGGTTGGGGCGCCAGTTCTCAAATTGCTGCAGGTGGGAGTGGAGGAGAATGAGGAGAGCCGACCCCTGCTCTTCTCCACCAAGCCCCTCAGGTCTCCCTTCTCCTGGCAGTGCCACAAAGGCTGCAGGGAGCCTGGTCGGGTGGACCCTGGCGCTGTGGGATCCACGGACCCTCCACTAACTGGTCATACCGCCCACATGTGGGAGATCTCAGGGCGGAGAGCCCCAAGGAGTCACAGGGCCCGTGAATGAGCTGATGCCCCGTCTTCCTGCTGGGACAGCAGGGCCCACACAGGCTGCCTGGCTGGGGCACCTGCGGGCCAGGCCACCGCGCCCAGGCTACGCCCGCAGCTTTGCTCAGGACAGAGGCCACTTCCCTCTGCGATAACTCTGCCCCTCCCCGACAACCCTTATCACTCTCTTTCAGGGCCTTTCCCGAGACCCTCAGGTCTCGCTGGCCTGCAGCATTTACCGCAAGGATCAGTCACTTGTCACCCGAGTTGCTGTCTGTCTGTCTCTCTCTTGAGTAGACTCAAGCCCTCTGGGGCAAGGAGCCCCTTTAAGCTTCCGAGGCTCCTCCTGTAGTTTGCCTTCATTTGTCCATTGCCTGCCTCACCCCCTCTTTCCTTCCTGCTTCTCGCTCAACACCCCCTCCCCCTCCCACTATGGTCTCCAGAGCCAGAGACACAGAGACACGTCCCCTCTCTCAGATGCCAGCCCACCCCTGCCTGCTCTGGCTGTGAGCGCATCTCCCAGGGCTCCATGCCCTCCTCTGCACCCCGCCCTCCTGGTGCCCAGGGGAACGCACCAGGGAGTGTCCATCAGACCAGCGGAAGTCCCCTTCGATGGTCCTGTCGTTCAGGCCTATCCACTGGTAGTCCTGGGCGTTGTCTGGAGAGAGGATTGGTGTTGGCCAAGTGCCGGGCACCCCAAGGGTGTGCGCGGACCTTGAGCTTGTGAGGAGGCAGGTGGGCCCTTAGGAGCCGGTGCCTGGGCCCGGCGTGCACTCTGTCAAGGCACGCTGGACGGGTGACAGCCACAGGGTCACAGGCAGTGAGCTGTCCTGGGCGCAGCCAGAGGCCTTGTCCCAAGACCTGGGTCCTGCCCTCGGGGAGCTCAGGCCTTGCAAGTGAGCCCCTTCATCCTCAGGGACGCCACCCTCCTCTCCGCCCCCAGGACCCCTGAACTCACTGTTGACGAACTCCTGCTCCTCCGGGGTGACGATGCTGCTCAGGTGGGACTGCTGCTCGCGACACCGGCTCTCGGCGTCCACCCAGGTCTCGCGGTCGGGGAAGTGGCGGTAGCAGTGGCCTTGGAACTTGGTCCAGCCCTCCTCACACAGCTCCTGGTCTGCAATACAGGTCAGGAGCTTGAAGAGGGGCCTGGGTCACCGGGGGATGGCGGCTGCCGCCTGTCTGATGGCACCGTTCCTGCCTTCACCCCACCTTCAATCTTGTGCCCCCCAAGAAGGGGAGAGGCTCAAGTTGGGCCTGGCCTGGCCACCGGAGCCTTAGGGTGCATCTCCACCCCCAGGCAATGCCACTGCCCCTTGCTTTCCCTGCTCTCGCCCCGAAGCTTTTGCCTGTTGACGCCTGCTGGGGTGGGGACAGGCTGAGATGGGAGGCCAGGCAGAAAGAGGTGGGAAGGGGGAGGTTCTGAGGTTTAAGGCAAAATGTGCTTTGGGGGCTCGAGGGGCTCTAGGGGAGGTGTGAGAGCAGCAGACAACAGGCAGTGCTGGGACATGAGCCGCACCCTTGGGTGGGGCACCCTTGGGTGGGGCAGATGAGTCTGAAAGGTGTGAAGCTTCGAGTCCGCAGTCCCAGGAGGGCAGGGCAGCCACGGCCCAACCTGAGGCTCCGGCTTTTTCCTTTCTTCCTAGTGGCAGATGAGTGGGGGAAGGGACAACTCTCCTCACAAGCCCACACTGGGGAGGGGGGTCTCCGTTCTGGAGAGGGGCGCGTGGAGCTTTGGAGCCACAAATGGGGACAGACGGGAGGAGGGCGTGGAGAGCCTCCATGGGCCCCACTGACACACTCAGAGGCGCCCTTGAGGGGGCCCGGTGGAATCTTCACGCCGGGGGCAGGGATACAATCAGGGCTCCCCCTCAGAGACAGCCACTAGCATCTGCCAGCCCAGCAGCGAGAGGGGTGTCAGGGCCCTCTCTTCCCTCCTCCCCTGGGGTCTCCCAGGCCAAGCCTCTTGGGCCTCCAACTTAGACACAGGCCAAGAGCCCTCAGGCTGCAGGGTGGCCTCTCCAAGGCCCGGTGCCACCCATTGTCCAGAAGGAAGGCCCGGCCCTGAGGGGCCAAAGCTTAGGGCTGGAGAAGAGACGCTTGGGGGAGCAGAGTCGGAGGCCAGCAGCCTGGGAGGGAAGAGGGGCAGCAGGGGGAGGTGCACTGATGCCGCCAGTGCCTTCTTCCCCAGGGCTGAGACTAAGACCTGGGCGGGGTGGGGGTGGGGGGGCCTCTGTGGCTGCCAGCCCGTGAGGCGGCCAGAGCGCACATCCTAGGGCTGGCCCGTGGCTGAAGCTGGGCTGGGCAGGGGCCAGGCCATGCAGGATGGCAGCTCTGGGGAAGAGTGGCAGATTCTGGGAGACTGGAAGAAAAGAAGGGCCACAGCCCAGGCATGAGGTATCGTGGGGGGTGGGGCTCAGGGTTGGAGAAGACAGGCGGCCCTGTTGAGTGGGTGCCCAGGCCCAGGACCCTGCCCTGCAACATGGTCCCCCCTTTTGCTCCATCAGAGACCCACGAGGGCCCTGCCCCGCCTGAGCGGCACCAGGGCTGAGCTGCCGTCTGTGTGGACAGCTGGGTCCTGCTTCCCAAGTGGCAAGAATGTCAGCACCCTGGGGATGAAATCCTTGTAGTTTTCCTCCCCCACCGCAGCCCCAACCCCACGCACCCACTTCTTGGGATCTTGGGGCAGACGTGAGGGTAGGGAGCTGTACGGGAGGAGAGGGTCCAGGCCTTTTCTTCCATCCCTCTACCCGCCTGCAGCCTGAACAGCCCCCCACGGAACATGCAGCTCCAAACTCCCACCCCACGCTGCTAAGGACCAAAGAGAGACTTCCCAGGGGCTGCAGATGCTTTCTGGAAGTTTGTGGAGTGTCCAACCTGAGCTCACTGAAGATGGTTTTGAGCCCTGCTTGCCCCAGCTCTGCAGTGATGCACATGGCCCCAATCCTGGCCTCCCCCTGTGAGCGGGAGGGCTCTCAGCATGGGGGCAGAGGGAGTCTAGGAGGCCATTCTGGTGCTGGGGTGACCCTGGCACACGCACCAGGGGCAGGGCTGGGTCCAGGAGCAGCAGCAGAGGGCTGGCGGGGCCAGGAGAGGAGCTTCCTGGCCCAGCGGGAGGCGGCACCATGCACCCCGCCACACCTCCACCTTCAACGAGAGGGCGGAAGGAAGGAAGCACCACACATGTGGCCTGGCGGGCAGCCGTGTGGGAGAGCGTGGTGTCAAGAAGGTGACATGCAGTGGGGCCGGCTCATGCACCGCCGGAGCATGCTGGCAGCGCGGGGCTCGCAGGCAGGCAAGTCGGAACTCTCGCTGGAGGGCCCACACCAGGGCCACGCAGAGGGCACACGAGCCACAGCCTTGGGGGGAAGCTCTATGGCAGTCAGCCCGAGCAAGAACCAGGACCCCCACCCACAGCTCCTTCGAGAAAGACAAATGCAGGGAGGCAGCTCTGTCCTCAGTCTGATCCAAGGACCACCTTGATGGGGCCGCCAGAGCCCTGGAGGTTAGTGCTTTACAGACTCCCCAGAACCCCACCTTCCAGAGGGTAGGTGACTGGGTCTGCACGTCTTTCCTGAGGTCGGGTCAGCCGGTCCCCCAGAGGCAGGTTTTCCAGGGGAACAGCAAGAGGAGGATGGGCGAGTGGGATGGACATCTCAGTGGTGATCCCTGCCGTGGTGTCCGGGTGACCTGGGGAGCCCCAGCGAGGGCCGAGAGCCAGTGGTTAGAGGAGAGGTGAGGGAGGAAGAGGGGTGCAGCGGTTAGTGACATTAGCTGAAGCCGAGACGGCCGTACCGATCTCACACAGGTCCCCTCGGTAGCTGGGAAGGCATAAGCATGTGAAAGAGTCGATGGCATCCACGCAGGTGGCTCCATTCAGACAAGGGCTTGGGAGGCACTCATCAATGTCTGCAAGAAACCAAGGGCCACCATTAGGATGCCGCCGGACGCTGCGCTGGGCCGGCCCCTGCTCTCCAGAGCCCGGGAGGGTGGCTGGGCTTCCTAAGATCTGTTGCTGCTGCTGCTGCTGCCGCCGCCTTGGCGTGCTGAGCCAAAGGGGCAACCGGGTTTTCTTGCATGTGCGTGATTCCGGACTGGCGTGGGGGAGCGGAGGGGGCTTCCTGCGGCAAGCGGCAAGTCTGCAGCGGCTGTGAGGGCGAGGGCTCCTCCGCTGCCTTCTCTCCCAAATGTCTCGAGAAACGGTGGGGTCTGATCTGGCTCTGAACTTGGCATGAGTCCAGTTTGGGAAGCGTGGTTAGAGCCCTTGCTTTCCGTGGAGGGCGCGGGCGTACATACCAGGCCAACACGCTGGGCACGGTCTGCAGAGTCTGGGACACGAGGCAGTGGCAGCCCCGGGGGCTCACCGCTTTCTTGGATTGCAGACACGCCTTTGTCTTCGATAACGAAGACATCAGAGCACTTTCTCTCCGATGGACAACGGCCCAGCCCCACGCTCCTCCGGGTGATCTCTTTCCAGCCTCAGACTCTAGAACGTGCCTGTGTCCAGGGGTCACAACTTCCAGGACGCCTCATCCTTCTGAGGGGATGGCAAGCTGGCGAGGCACCCCGACACAGCGCTGGGCTTCAGGCCGGTCCCCACCAGCCTGTTCTTCCTGGGCTGCTCTTCCTCTTCCTCCAAGCGGTTCTTTCTGATGAAACTTCTCTGTGAGACTTGAATTGGCAAGTTGTTAGTTTAAGCCTCAAACTTTCATCCATCATGGGGGTCAGAGCTGAATCTCTGAATCTCTTTCATGGTGCGTCCGTGGGTGGGAAGCCCCTTCCAGCGAGCGAGCACGTCTGCTGGCTCCTGGCGCTCCTGCTGCGTGAGCCGGAGATGCTGGGCCTTGGTGACTGTGGGGCGTTCACGCCAAATCCAGGACCCACTGTGAGCGTGCGTGGTCTCACACGAGCAGCCTATGTTTGTTCCAGGACTTAGTTCTTGCTTCTCGAGGGAGCAGACTAGACCTTAACACCAACCCCATGCAGGCAAAGCCCCTTCTCTGGGCCTTTCCATAGACACACAACAGGCGCCTTCCAGGGCTTCCTGCAATGGGCGGCCTGGAGCCTCCGTTTCTCAGGCATCTCTCTCTTCCCACGAAGTTCTTAACTTTCATCCCAGGGAGTGTGCACCGTGAACTAGAAACCCACAGTTCCAAGTCTGGAACTGCTCCAAGCAAACCCAGAATGCATGGAGGACTGGCTGCAATCCCTGCATGCACTTGGATTCCCAGCAGCAGCAGTAGCAGCAATAGGTCAGGCCATGGGCCAGGCGGAAGCTGGGGCGGCTCTCCTGCTCGGGAGCTAGAGTTCTCTTCGTCCGTTAGTGTCACTGCGGGAGCCGGACAGCCCTGAGCCGGGGGTATTAAGCAAACGTAGGTGCTAAAGCAGTTGGGCAGAGCAGGGGCCTGTGGGAGGAGCGCCAGCCCAGCCCTGGGCCCGGGCAGTCCCGGGGAGGCTGGCCAGTGGCTGCCAGGAGTCCCAGCAGTCAGGGAACACGAGCCATCGCCGCGAGGCTGCCCGGGGCCCGAGGCTGGCGTTGTTTTCCTTCTGTTTGGCTCAGGCTAAGGGCTGAGCAGGCCGCAGGGGCGGACGTGCAAGAGCCACTTCCTGGGCATGGAACTGTCTTATTTTTGGCAGGGCCCTGGACTCACAGAGGGAGGAAGGGAAGGCCACGACCCCGAAGACCTGTGAGCCGTGGGCTGCCTCCCCTTCAGCGGTGGGAAGGGGGCCGAGCAGCTGGGGCGGGGTGCTTAGAGCCCCCCAAGGTGGGCCGCTCTGGCCCTGCCTTGTCCACCTCCACTGGGAAGGCCCATGAGGACCTTGCTTGGCTTCTGGAACCACATGTGGGTTTGGGTGGGCTCTGAGCACAGAGGGGGACCCCAGAGAAGGTGACAGCAGGTGGAGGATGGAAGGGCTTTGGGCTGAGAGGGAGCAGCATCTCCCGAGACCCGTGTGCTGCCCTCGTCGCTCACACAGGTTATCCTCCCGGCAGCTCTGGCACTGTGCAGTGTGGGGGAGCAGCGAGGTGACGGCCCTTGCTGGTGAGGGGGGCACAGATGGGAGGAGAGGTGGAGGTGAGAACAGACGGAGAGAGGAAGGCGAGGCTGTGTCCCGATGGAGGGGGAGGGACACCGGGGTCCTGGGGCTCAGCCGCTCATGCCCATTTCTGTTGCATCGGCCAAGGGCCCCTGACATCGCTGGGCAGGGATTCTGGGGCATGTCAGGACCCGCAGAGTCCTCATCCCACTGCCATAAAAAAAAGCACAGCCCGCGCCGGAATAAGGGGCTCCAGTGACAGCGCTATCCTGGCGGAGAAAATGACTGAGGCTCCCCCCACCCCCGGCCCCGGCCCCGGTCAAGGAAGGCTGGGCAGACACTTGGATAAGGAACCTGAGGCCGCCACCTGAACAGGTCCTGTGCTGTGTGTGCCGGGCCCCGGGCTTCTATGCCAGCGTGAGTATATCTGACGCCTAGAAAGGCCAGAGGGAGAGTGACAGCAGGTGCTGTTAATCAAGTGGTACCCGATTAGAGGGGTGGCCACCGGGATGGACAGGCATGCTCAAATTGTTCAGTGCGCAGCCTGTGCAGCTGTATGCAGTGCTGCGGCATATGACTCCCTGAGACATGAAGAGGGGAAATCCCCTCAAGAAGCAGAGATGATTCCTCCACTCCGTGGGTGTCCTGCACCTTGCAACAATCTGGGGTTCCTTGGCTGGACAGACCTGAGCAAACACGCTGGCTTCTGCTGTGCTACAAGGAACGGGGACTGCACGGACACATTCACCAGCGGCAATTTGCTTTTAAAGTAAACATCACCCGGGCCTCCCCAGTGGCACAGCGGTTGAGCTCTGGGTTGCGAAGCTGCCCTCAGCCTTTGCTGTGCCAGTTCGATCCCAAATGCTCCTTGGCCACCGGAGGAGGGTCCCGCATGGCGCGCAGACCTCTCCTGCCGCCCGCTGCTCCCCTCAGCAGTGTACTTCGTCAGTCTGCCTGTTCTGCTCCCCGCTCTGGCTCTGATGAATTCTCTCACCCTCCCGTGCTTCTGACTGTACCCAGTGCTTGTATAAATAAATAAACAAATAAATCTTTAAAAAAATAAAGTAAACATCACCCCAGTTCAAAGTACGCTATCATTATACTCTCCAAGCTTGTATATTTTTGAAGGTTGGAAGGCTGCTCCAACATCCTACTTCTTAAATGCTCTTGGTTGTCTATTCACATCTGCCCACGGACTTTTTGGCTAAGTCAAGGAGGTGGCACTTGTGTTTCCGCTTGTAACCCTGTATTTTCCCTTGCTTTGAAGACATTTTTTTTTCTGCCAGCGATAAGGTTTCACTGAAATTCAAAGTGCTCCCCTCTGTGGGGAGAGACAGTACATGATCAGAGCCGCAGTCTCTGAAGTGGACAGTGGCAGAAGCGGAAGAGACTGGTGAGGTTTAAGCTCAGGCCCTTTAACCCACATGCCCACGGCCTGCAGGAAAACCAGCGGTGACATCTGATTAGAACGAATTTCTCAGCCTTGGCTGTACATTAGAATCACGGCTGTAGTTAAATTTTTTCTTCCTAAATTTAAAGATTAAATAAAAACAACACCCAACACCAGAGTCCCCCTCCAGATCAACGGAATCAGAATATCTCAGGCGGGCCCCTAGGTAGGGCACTTTTGAAAGTGCCCCAGGAGATTCTAAAGTGCCAGCTTGAACCCCAGAGTCCGCAATTAACTCCCACAGGACATCTGGGTGATGGAGGTGGAGGTGAGGAGGGTATTGCTGCTTTTAAAGTAGATCCCAACAGGAGAGTCTTGTCTTTCATTTGAAAGAATCTGAGTATTCTTGAACAGATGTGATTTTGATGTCAAAAGTAAAAATTTATAATAATTATTGCTAATCAATTAATACAGACTCTCCTACTTATGACGGTTTAAATTGTGATTCTTCCATTTTACGGGGGTGCAGCAGTTCCATGCACGCAGTGGGAACTGTCCTTGGGATTCTGGCATTTTCCCGGGTCACTCTTGTGGGATGCTGTGCAGTGAGAGCAAGCCCGGGGTCCCCAGGACAAACAGCCACCACCTTTGGCTGCTGCCTGCGGCAGCTTTCACAGAAGCCATCACGTCTCCACTACTCCCTTCTGGGCCTGAGACGGCAACTCTTTTTTTTTTTTTTTTTTTTTTTTAGAATATTTATTTATTTATTTGTTTGTTCGTTTGTTTTTTTGTTTATACATGCACTGGGTACAGTCAGAAGCGCGGGAGGGTGAGAGAATTCACCAGGGCCAGAGCGGAGAGCAGAGCAGGCAGGAGGACCGAAGTACACTGCTGAGGGGAGCAGCGGGCGGCAGGAGAGGTCTGCGCGCCATGTGGGACCCTCCTCCGGTGGCCGGGGAGCAGCCGGGAATCGAACCGGCGCCGCAGAGGCTGTGGGCAGCTTCGCAACCCAGCGCTCAACCGCTGCGCCACCGGGGAGGCCCAAGAGACGGCAACTCTTTATAAGCAGACCCGTGTTGGCAGGAGTGCCTGAGTGGAGGACGTGTGTTCTGAGCAGACCCAAGCGCGAGGCTGAGCTGTGACCTTTGGTGGGTGCAGGACTGTGCTAACAGCATTTTGACTTCTCAGCTCATGATATTTTCCATTTACGATGCTTATGCAGAGATCATCTGCTAAGTTGAGGCAGCTCTGTGATTGTTTATTTATAGGATGCCAACTAAACGGAACGACAGCAACTGCCTAGTGTTTACTTTTAGGACCAGACATCCCCACCTTGCCTCCCGGGCGGGTGGTTCCGCGGAGTGTTGGGATTTGCGTGGGAATAACGCTGCATTCTGCCGCGTGGAGGGCGCTGATGGGGAGGGCCGGTGAACAACCCTTGGCTCATGGCTGGAGAGCAAGTGAGGTACCTGCGGAAACTGGACACTCACTGAGGTCCTTGGAAGCACCGAATCCTGAGCTAAATTGAACAGGAAGGCTTGAGACCCCGGGGGTACAGTCACAGGCAACAAGAACCCAGGTTTTATAGCTGACCCTTGCCACCCACTCTTTAGAGCTGATAAAGCTTTCCTAACTGTTGGAGTTAGGGGTGGGGGAACCAATCTGGCCGGACTGTCCACCCATGAGCTCAAGCCTGCCCATAGCTGTTGCCACTCTGACTGCACATTGGACTTGCCGGGGAGTTTTTAACACCCCAGCACAAAGGTCACAGGGCCGGTTCAACCAGAATCTGGGTGCAGTGGGCCGGGGGACCCGACACCAGGCTTTTTAAGGCCGAACATCACCACCCCTTTTACCAGGTGTGTGTGTGTCTGATTCTCAGCCCTCCCTGGGGGGCTCTGCCTCCCCAAAGTCAAGATCTGGCTCTGCCATCAGAAACTGGCATTATGATCCCCTGGCAGTTTCTTATTTTGCTAAGGGGGTTAAACAAGTGAGTCAAGGCCCAGCTCTTGATTAGACTCACTCAGTGGAGTTAGGAGAATTAGCCTTTTCTGCTCTGGTTTCAAATGGAACTTGTTTCCAAGCTGTTCAGAGAGCTGCCTGGGGAGAAAAGGTGGCATCAGTGCCCGCAGCAGACATACAGTTTGAGATTACAGCAGATTCCTTACGTCCACTGTCCCCCATGTCCATTGCCAGAGCTGCCCAGAGTGAGTCAGGCCACATTCCGGCTTCCAGTACCAACTCGGGGAGGGGCTGCTAAGATGGACGGAGTCAGAGATGCGGAGAGTGGGGGCGGGTTCCGGAACCCTAGTGGGCTCAGAGTCTGTCTCGCTGGCCCAGATGGAGCTGGGCTGAGGTCCGTGTCCAAGGCCTGCATGAAGTTTATTGGGGCGGGCGCCTGAGACCCTGAGGGGTCAACCAGAGGCGTTTCTCCCCGGACAGACAGAGCTGCACCTGTGCTCTGGGAGGACCCTGAGCCCCTGCTGGTTGCAAAGCTGACACAGGGGCTCCCCAAGTTTTCTCCAAGGCCAGGCTCTCCAGGGACTGAGGCAGTGCCCAGTCGGTGTAGATACGGTGCTTGCAGTCCAGCATAGGTACTGCCCCCTCAGCAGTGAGGCCAGGACCTTCTTAGGGGGGCCCTCCCTCTCTGGCCAGGGGGTGTCCCATGTTCTCAGGTCTAGGCCCCACACAATGGCAAAGAACGGCCCAGTGGAGATAAAGAGGATTTATATACACATACATATTTACGTGTCAGTACCAGCATACAGCGTGTGTATACTATATGAGCATATAACATAGCAGGGGTGTTAATGTGCATATATATTGATATATATAAACTCAGCACCCTCCTCTGGGCAGGGCGCAGAGGCCCTGAAGACAGCTGCTGGTGCAGCGTGCCTGGACGTGGTATTTTCCCCAAGAGTCATTGCTCCTTTCAGCAGGAGAGGCCTTTCCTGAAGGGCCCCAGGCCTGGGGCCTGGCAGAGTATGGGTAAGCATGGGGACTGGAGAGGGTGACTCTGGAACCTGGGCTTGGGGTTACCCGACATCTCTCCCCTCTGGGGAGCGGTGTCAGAAGGATGCACGCAGATATGTTTGGGAACAAGTGGCTCCTGGCTATCTTGTTTTGGGGGCCTGTCCCCCACCCCAGGTTTCTCACTACCCTGCCCTCTGCTTCACCCGTAGCTGAGGCAGTGGCCCTTGGGGGGCAGGTGCTGGGGCAGGGTGCTCAGGCCACAGCTGGCTTGCAGACAGGGTGTGGCGCTGTCTGTGTCATTTCCTTCAGGGTGGGAAGGGCCCCCAGACCCTGTCCAGACCCAAACACGGAGGGGGCAGAAGGGTGTTTCTGGGGGGTTGCCCTTCCTGGGGCCACAGGCCTGACCAGTCCACGAGGCAGCCACCTCCAGACCAGCATTTCTCTGAAGCCTCAAGTTTTACCTTCACAGAGATTTTGCATCCTACTCATGTAACCATCACGGCTGGACAAAAAAAATGGTTTAATTGCTTGACCTTTTCCTCCCAGATGCCACATAGAATAGACACTACAGAAAGATGGTCCACGTCCATCCTGTGGCTTCTCCCCCTTCTACCTCCTTCCCAGATTGAGAAGCCTGGGTCTCGGGGTGCCCTGATGCCTCCTCCCCCTGCAGCCCCTTCTGCAGCCCCCTCCCTGCCCGCACCCGCACAGCCAATGAGGGTCTTACCGATGTCACAGTGCTCGCCAGTGTGGCCGGGGGGCACAGGCATACGATGTGCCCCCGTCTCCTGGCAGGTCCCAGCGCCACAGGGCTCATCAGCACAGGGCCTGGCGGGGCTGCACCCCGGCGCGAGCTTGAGCGCTAGAGCGAGGCTCTCGGGGACAGCGAGGCTAGGACCGCAGGTCAGGCGCGGGAACTGAGCCCCAGACCGGCTGTGGGTCTGCATTACTGGGGCTCTGTCTGTCCTGGGCAGCGGGCCCTAGCCTCTGGGGGTGCCTCTGACGGGAGAAGGTCTCTCCACACACACAGGTCCAAGGAATCCCAAAGCAGAAAGCCAAGGGACGCCCCTAGCCCTGGGGCCCGGTGTGGCCAGCCAGTCACTGCAGAGCACAGCGCACTGGAGTCCAGAGGGGGCGGGGGGGGGGAACACAGCATCTCACACCAGGACACAGTCCAAATGCCACAAAGTAGTCCCTCAAATGTACCAGTTTTAACCCAGCACAAGGTAAATATTGGTGGATTCATTCTCTCACACTCACTCTCTGGGGCGGGGGGCGGGGGGAGGTAGGGCAGGAGCAGAATTTGCAGCCTCTCTAGTGGCCCTCTGTCCTTGCGCCAGTCACCCCAGTTCCTGTGATGTGACTCGCCGGAGTGACTGACAGTCACCGACCCTGATGCACTCTTTGCAAGCATGACGGTGAGTGCTTTATGCCTGCTCTCTCTTTCCCGGGTCTAGTCCCCTTTTGGAGACGTATCGCAGAGAGGTTAAGAAACTTGCCTGAGGCTGCACAGCTTCTCTGTGGCAGAGCCGTGCTTGGAGCCTGGAATCTACACCTGTGCAGTCTGAACACAGCCCAGACGGCCCAAACACACTGAAAGGAAGCAAGAAGAAACCCGACAATACCTGTGGCCTCCAACTCGTCTGTCCCTCCGGGGGAAGTCGGGATGGAAGCATCTGTCGGGGAGATGGCTGTGGCTGCTGTCTGGGTCTCGTCTCCTGAGTGCAAGGGACTTGAGGACTCGATTTCTAGAAGCGCCTCTGCAGGCTGCTGGGTCCGCTGGGTCCACTCGGACTCTGGGACGCTGGTGCCAATGACGACGTCTAGCCCCGAGGGGTGACCAGATGGGTCTCCACTGAGTTCAGTCCTGTCTCCAGAAGCCACCGGTGTGGTCAAAGGCCAGCCCGACGCCTCTGCGCTCCCGTCATCGGTGACCATGGGCTTTCCGCTCACTTCCGGGATGGCCGAGCCCTCCCCAGGGCCTTCCTGAAAGGCCGAGGGGCTGCTGCCCAGTCCCAGGCCTGAGGCTCCCTCCAAGTCAGCTTCATGGAAGGGGGTGCTTTCGGGCAGGTCAGGGGGCCCGGAAGCTGCCCTGCTGGCCTCAGGGGTGGCAGATGCACCCACCTCACCTTCAGGATAGGCAGAAGTCTCGCCACTGGGTTCTGGGGCTGGTGAGGCTTCGACCCCAGAACCAGGAAACCCTGGGGTGGCGCTACTAAGGTCGCCAGAGGCAGAGGCTTCGCCGCTGAACTCAAAGAGCCGGGGTATGTGTGTCACAGGTGGTCTTTGGCCAAGTTCCTGCGAAACAGTGGGTTCAGTAACACCTTCCACAAACTCAGACGTGATTAGAGTAACTTCTGGAAGCCATGAGGTCTCCCCGCTGGTGCTCGTGTGTATAGATGAGTCCCCACTTATGTCGACGGTGCCAGAAACGTCCCCGCTGAAAAATGGAGCACCAGATGGTTCTCCACTGGGCACTGCCAGCCCGGACTGCAATCCACCGAGGTCCAGAGATCCCGAGTGGTCTCCAGACACATCTGGCATTCCAGAAGGGGCACCACTGAGTTCCCAAACACCTGAAGGCCCTTCTCCTGCCTCTTGGGCTGTTGGAGCCTGGGTTATAGATTTCACCAAAGTTCTGTCCTCAAAAGAAATGGTGGGGGAACCTGATAGAAGTCCACTGCCATCGTAGGCTCCTGAGGGCATGGTGCTCCCCATCTCAGCTCCTGAGGAGTCTCCACTGATCTCAGCTACTCCACTTGGTCGGCCACTGGATTCCAGAAGCTGGGATGTAAACCCACTGGAGTCGACTGCTCCAGAAGATTGTCCACTGACATCCACCAGCCCAGATGTGCCTGAGAGCTCTGTCTCCCCGGAAGGGAGGCCGCTGAGGTCCACAGATCCTAAGCCTTCTTCTTCTTTCAGTGGCGTTGGGGTCACTTCCACCAAATGCATGTCCACAAAGGTAATGCCCGAAGACTCACCACTGCCACTCGTGATGCTGGAAACCAGGTCAGGGGGCCCAGAGGTTGTCTCACTGAGCCCTGGCAACCCTGATGGCTGCCCACTGAGATCAGGGACCCCGGATATTTCTCCACTCAGGTCGGTTATGCCAAATGGTTGGCTGCTGCCATAAAGAACTCCAGAAGCTTCTCCACTGACATCCGGCTGTCCAGAGGACAATCCACTATGTTCAGTCACTCCAGATGTTTCCCCAGAAAACCCTGATGGCTGCCCACTGACCTCAGAAAGCCCAGATGTTCCCCCACTGATGTCAAGAAATCCGGATGGCTGTCCAGTGACACCAAAGAGTCCAGATGTTTCCCCGCTGATGTCAGGGGACCCAGATGGCTGGCCACTGAGTTCAGCTCCTGAAGGGAGTCCACTGGGTGCCCCGCTAATGTCCAATTCACTGAAGGGCAGCCCAGATAGTTCTCCAGTGCCGCTAATGCCAATAGTTCCTCTCCCTTCCAGCTCCTCAGCAGTGGTGGTTGTCACAACTTCCACCAAGGTGGTATCCACGAGGGAAACTGTGGGGAACCCCGATGACAGTTCGCTAAAGTCAGGCAGGCCAGAGGATGGTCCACTCCCAAGGTCCACTCCAGAATACTCACCACTAAAGCCAGAGGGAAGGCCACTTGCTTCTGGAGTTTGCCCACTTCCTAGAGTTCCAGAAGGCAGGCTGCCAATATCCAAGTCTCCAGAACCAGACTCAACCAGGTCTTCTTCAGAAGGCACCCCACTCAGGTCCTCAGCTCCAGAAGCAGAGATCTCTAGCCCCTCCCTTCCAGAAGGAAGACCACTGAAGTCCCCTATTCCAGAGACAGAGGTTTCTGGACCTTCTCCAGAAGGAAGTCCACTGAGGTCCTCTCTTCCAGAGGCAGAGGCTTCTGGGCCTTCTCCAGAAGGAAGCACACTGAGGTCTCCTGTTCCAGAAGCAGAGGTTTCCAGACCATCTTCTCCAGAAGGAATTCCATGGAGGTCCTCTACTCCAGAAGCAGAGATATCTAAATGACCTTCTCCAGAAGGAAGTCCACTAAACTCTTCCCCTACTCCAGAAGCAGAGGTGCCTAGATGACCTTCTCCTCCAAAAGGAACCCCACTGAGGTCTTCTACTCCAGAAGCAGAAGTCTCTAAGTGACTTTCTCCTTCAGAAGGAAGTCCACTGAGGTCATCCCCTATGCCAGAAACAGAGATCTCTAGATCTTCTCCTCCAGAAGGAACCTCACCAAGGTCTTCTACTCCAGAAGCAGAAGTCTCTAAGTGACTGTCTCCTCCAGAAGGAAGTCCACTGATGTCACCCCCTACTCCAGAAGCAGAGGTCTCCAAATGACCTTCTCCTCCAGAAGGCAATCCACTGAGGTCATCTCCTACTCCAGAAACAGAGGTGTCTAGATCACCCTCTCCTCCAGAGAAAAGTCCACTGAGGTCTCCTACCCCAGAGGCAGAGGTGTCTATACCCTCTCTTCCAGAAGGAAGTCCACTGAGGTCCCCTACTCCAGAAGCAGAGGTTTCCGGACCTTCTCCAGAAGGAAGTCCCTCGAGGTCCCCTACTCCAGAAGCAGAGGTTTCCGGACCTTCTCCAGAAGGATGTCCACCGAGGTCCCCTACTCCAGAAGCAGAGGTTTCCGGACCTTCTCCAGAAGGAAGTCCACCGAGGTCCCCTACTCCAGAAGCAGAGGTTTCCGGGCCTTCTCCAGTAGGAAGTCCACCGAGGTCCCCTACTCCAGAAGCCGAGGTTTCCGGGCCTTCTCCAGTAGGAAGTCCACCGAGGTCCCCTACTCCAGAAGCCGAGATTTCTGGACCTTCTCCAGAAGGAAGTCCACCGAGGTCCCCTACTCCAGAAGCCGAGATTTCTGGACCTTCTCCAGAAGAAAGTCCACCGAGGTCACCTACTCCAGAAGCAGAGGTTTCTGGGCCTTCTCCAGTAGGAAGTCCACTGAGGTCTCCTACTCCAGAAGCAGAACCTTCTAGGCCCTTGCCTCCAGAGGGCAGTATGCCGACAATGGAAGTATTGGACCACTTAATTCTGTCTCCATCCCCTGAGGCTAGTTCACTTCCCAGAGGCAGGCCTGAGCCCACGGCAGAGGTGACACTGCTGGCGTCAAGGTCCTCGGAGGGCAGTCCACTCCCACTCACCCCTGAGGCCTGCCCGCTGGAGTCCAGGTGTCCCGAGGCTTCTCCACTGGCTTCCAGGTCACCGCTGACTTCGGGCACCCCAGAGGGCTCCCCAGATCCTAGCAGCTCAGTCCCACTGGGCACCAGGGGCAAATGTATGGACGGCTGCTCAGACGGGGTGGGCTCTTCCGAGGTCAAGGGCAATTCCGTTGCAGAAGGTCCTTCTGTGCTTTCCTCTGTGCTCTGGGGAGGCCACGTGGGAGGGATTCCTGGAGGAAAAGGGGGAGACAGGCAGGGTGTGGATTTAGAAGCTCGGCCCCATCTCAAGTTCACATGGGTGAGCTGAACGTGCCTGGCACAGGAGCACGTTTCTCTCAAAGCAGAAACGGATCCAGACATTGTCTAGTGGCACCTCATGCTCTGGGGAGGGAAGGCAAGGAGGGGGGTGGGCAGGCAGGGAGGGAGGACCGGACACTCCCACTACCCTCAGGCTGTGCTTTGGGAGACTCAGGGGCCTCACAGCCGCATCAGCTGGGACGCCATAGGAAAGCGAATCCCAGCCCCCCTGGCACTAACAGGAACTCGGCAGGGGCTCAGCCACGCCTGTGTCTGGCAGCCGGTCAGGATCAGGAAGGAGGTGTTGGCTGAGGGAAACTGAGGCCGGCGTTCGGTAACAGAGGCGCTGTCAGTCAACCCACCAGCTCTCAGTTCCGAGAGCCCTAGACAGAGGGTTTGGAAGACAGAGGAGGAGCGAACCTCCTCCCTCTAGATAAGCGTGACCCCATTATTTCCTTCCTTCTTGCTTCCCTTGGAATTTAAAAAATATCTCACAGGGACTGTGCCCTGGGGCGAACCCGGGGGAGGTGGGGTGTTCCGGGGCCGCCCCAGAGCCCACCGACACCAACCTGGCAGTGGTGATGTGCCCGCTGGGGTGTAGGCTGGCCCCCACTCCGTCTGGTTTTCTGGCTCAGTGGAGAAGTCTAGGGGTACTGTCGTCATCTCCTCCTCCGAGGGGAGCACAGCCACACCTGGTGCCACTTGGCTGACAATCCGGTCCTCCATGTCGGGGGGCAGTGTGGGGATGCCACCCTCCTCTTCTCCTGGAGAAGGCAGCCTGGAGACAGCTGAGGGGACACGGGAGGGTGAGGGTGTCTCCTTCCAACTGGCCCACAACGGCTGGCCCTTCCTGAGGGAGACAAGGGGCTGCCAGGCCACCCTCCGCCCCCATACCCATGGGGGTGGCTCTTGGCCTGTTCACTGGTCATTCCCGCTAGCTGGACAGCCCCAGTGGCACTGGCCACTCATGCACGTTAGGGCTGGCATTGCCACCTCAGGCTCCACCGGCCTGGCCAGGCTCTGTGTAAAGGCATATGTGCAGAAAATCACTTTGTCTCTCAAAAGCCGCCTGAGACAGGCTGTTTCTATCTCATTTGCAGACGGGGGCACAGGACAGTGGCTTATCAGTAGCGGCCTAGTCTTTGATTCAGTGTTGAGCTCCAGGCACATGCCCTCAGCTTGCGCTGCGGCCTTTCCTGGGGATGAAAATGGCGCTTCCAGGAGGCTGCCCGCATGGGAGGGGCGAAGGCAGGCTTCATTGAGTGGGGTAACCCTTCCAGTTTAGGGGAACCAGCAAAATGGGGAAGGGGGAGGAAGCCCAGCTTCTCCCATTATACAGAGACTGAGTTCACTGGGGTGGAGGGGCTGGGGGTGCAGGGGCTGGGAGTCCTGGGAGGTAACTGGTTTGGTGTCTGCTCTCTGCTCGCATCTGGGAGGCCGAGTTTGGGGCAGGAGCCTAATTGTCCTTGGGGACTGGCCTTGGAGCCGGTGGAATTTTCTTTGAATTGGCCTTTAAAAGGTGACCCTGCTAGCCTGGAGGCTCAGGGCTTTTGTAGCTTTATTTTGAAATGACAGATACACAGGAAATTACAAAGGCACTCAGTGTTGATATCTAGCCCGCGAAATACAGCCCACATCGTCACTATAACCCATGGTCCCGTCCGAGTGCACAGAACCGAGCCCCTGTGAGAACTGTCCAATCAGAGCCCAGCAACACCCTAGCCACGCCCGCTGGGCCTTGACAAGGTCACACTCAAGCTCCAGGTGGGTAGTGATGGCTGCAGGCGTCCTCAATCAATTAAAAATGCGAATTGCTGGTGCTTCATGAAGAATAATGGAATACTCTAAATTCATCCCCCAAATATTCAATAGTGGGAGTTTGACAAGGACATACATCTTAAGACAGTATGTATAAGTGTGTGTTATTTATCTAGAATAAAACTAACTCATCAGTCATTTACCATGTCCCAGACATTATGCTAAGTGTTATCCAAGTTAACCTGCCCTCTGAAGTAGGGACTATCACAGTGTATCAGTACGTCATAGTAGCAGAGAACAGAGAGGTTAAATCACTTGCCCAGGGTCACACAGCTACTACACAGCATAACTCAAATTCAGTTCTGCCTGATTTTAGAGCCAAAGTTCTTACTCTTTTCCACTTGCCTCTGGGGAACTTTAGAAGGATGTATTTGCCTTGAGGTCAAAGCTTCAAGGTCAAGCTCAAGAGCTGCCCCAGAGGGACAGATGTTTTCCCTCTTGCCCTGATGGATGGGGACATTGGAGGGGGACAGGAGGGATGAGCCCAGAGGAGTTGCCCCTTCCCTCAGGCAGAAGGGGGCTGGAGAGGGGTGGGGGCACATACCTCGGAAGCAGAAGGCGTGGTGGCGGGACAGAGGGTCCGGGAGGCCTGTCTGGTTGGGGTAGAGGTAGATGGTTCTTACGCCTGGCTTGTCCCCGCCACAGGCGGGCCTCGGGGTGACGATGGGATAGCGGACAGTGCCGTCCGCCAGCCAGCCAGCATAGCACTTGTCCAGGCCGAGGCTCCAGGCGGCGTAGAGCTGGCCGGTGGAGGCCAGCGTGGCGTTGTGGGACTCACAGAACTCCAGTGCTTCCTGGAAGGTGAACTGCTCCGGGCGAGTGGCGAAAAACACCTCCCCTGGGGGAAGAGCAGGTGGCGGGTGACCCTTCATGCCCACAGCCAGAGCAGCCTCTGCTCACCCAGCCTCTCTCCGCTAACAGGCACCCCCAGCCCCCGGTGCTCCCTGACACCACAGCACTTTTCTGGCAGCGCTGCAGCCTCCCACTTCCTGTAGCCCACGGGGTGGGGCCAACAGCCTCTGGTGTGGGGGTGGGTCCCAGAAATGCACTGGGGAACGGTGTGATTTGGGGGAATGAAGTGCACATTGATTGAACACCTACTTGTACCAGGTGCTTTCAGACATGCAATTTCCTACCCAAAACATCTATAATAGGAGCATGAACCAGCTCCATTTGCAGAGGAGGAAACTGAGGCCCAGCGAGGCCAAGTAAGTTGCTCTGGGTTCACACAGGGAGGGCAGTGCTGAGATCGTCTGACCAGCATTCCCAACACTGGAGCCAGTGGATAGTAATTTGGTGACTTTAATTGAAATGAAATAGAACCAGGCCCGTGGTCAGGAGGCTTGGGCGCCGCTCCGTCCAGCAATTGGGAGGACTCTGGCATCTGACTCTGCACGGGGTCCACTGGCCACCAGACAGAGGGTGCAAATTACAGCTATACTGAGTACATGAGCTCACTGCTTTTTAAAGGAACCCCAGGGTCCCTGCAGCGCTGGGGGTCCAGGAGGCAGAGAGGACTCTGCCGAGAGGGGCTGGGCGCCTTTCTTATGCTGGCTTCTCCCTGTGGGGTGGGAGTGGGTAGAGACCCCCGCTCTTTGCCTCCCCTGAGCCCTGCCGGCACTTGAGAGCCTGTACCCTCCAGCTTGTCCACGTAGCAGTAGACGTCATAGGTTTCTGATGGTGGACGCACGCCGTAGGTCCTGACCCCAGGGCTGCTGTCCTTGTCACCCACACATGGGGTCCGTGGGCTCACAATGGGGTATCTGCAAAGGGAGCAGGCAGGAGGGGTGGATGAGAACCTTCTGGGGGTGCAGAACCCCGGGGGGGGGTGGGCTGGGAGTACATTCAGGGGCTTGGGCAGGGCAGGACTTTGGTGGTCTGAGGGGGTTCAAAACAGGAAGGACCCCTTCATGCAGAGACTGGCAGATGATGGGGGTGGCTGCGGGGTTCCTGGCTTCCGAATAGAGCCTGCTGCATGGAAAGGCACTCAGGCAAGCTGGAAGGACAGAAGGGTTGAGGAGGGGCTTCCTCCTGTATCTTGGGGGAGATGACCGAGGACTAATGCCACCAGGGGTCCTTTGCACCCGCTCAGAATAGGCCCCCTTCTGGGGAGGGATGAAGGAGCAGGCAGGGACTCACTAGTGAATTACTGGGACAGGCATTGCTCCCCACGCCTCTCCACACCAAGCCCCTCACCTGACGGTCTGGTCCTGCAGCCAGCCGGCGTCACACTGCTCGTAGCCGGCCTCGTAGGCGGCCTGCAGCTGCTCGGGCGAGGCCATGCGTGCCCCCGTGCGCAGGCAGGCCTGCTGGGCCTCCTCGAAGGTCAGCGAGTAGCGGGTGGATCCCGGGCGGTAGTGGAACACAACCCCTGGGTTAGGGAGGCGAAGACAGAAGGCACAGCACGCTCAGGGTATGAGCAGGGACACCGCATGGGGGCCTGGCTCTTAAGGCCTCATGGGGAAGGAGGGAGCTCTGGCCCCTTGAAGACGGCCTCCTCTTCTCCCTCCTCTTCCTCCTTCTGAGCCTATTTCCAGCAAGTTGTCTCCCTCTGCTTGTTCAAACTGCTCCCCTGAATCCCACATTCCTGAGAGCCTCTGGGACTCATCCGCCCCCCAACTCTCCTGGCTGGAACTTGTCCGCCCCCTTACACTTTAAAGCAAATGCCCTTTCTCTTACTATAAAAAGGGTAAATGCTCATTACAAAGCATCTAGGAAATACAGAAAGGAAAGGGAAGAAACACCCCTTGGTTTTGCATCCCCCTGGCCCAGGAGCGGACCCCTGGAGGTGGCTGCAGGGTTGTGTGGGGGGCACTGAGCACATCTGGGGATGGATGTATGGCGTTTGCCAGATTCCCAAGCAGCTGGACCCATACCGTGAAGAGACCTGGGTCCAGCGTCCCTCCCCCATGCCATCCACCTGCCGCATTTGGCTGGGCACTGCCCTCTCTGACATTTCCCTGGCCAGCTGTGAGTCCCCAGTGTGAGTCTGTCTCATGCTTCATGTCCTGTCCTGTGTTGGATGCTCCTCTGTCCACTGGACCCTCCCCCATGGTGGCCAGAGGGCTCTCTCCAGTGCTGGGCCTATCTGGGGCCTCCAGCCCTCACAGGCATGACCCCAGAACACCCCCAAGATTCCTCCTCCCTTAAACGACACTCATCTGGGCGATTCAGGCTGAATCCACTTTGTGGCACTATAGGCGCAACAGTGGACAGCCTTGCCCATCTGCCCTCCTGGCCCTCATGGAGGCCCTGAATTCTGTTCCTATTTGGGGATTTGATTCAGGGAGCAGCTGGGCTCCCCGTTCCTCCAGACATTTATGAAGCACTGGAAGCATCATCATTCCAGAATGGAATGGGAGGGCTGGAGGGGACATGTGACCCTGGGCTGTGGCTAGTGACAGCCACTCAGGTCTACACTCATGTCCACAGAAGCCACCATCCCAACACAGCGACTTCCTGTCACACCTGATCTGTGGCCATCGAAGCTACTTTCACATATTGTAAGTCATGAAATAAGTTTCTCCTGACTTTCTCCACCAACTGCTTGGAAAATGAAAACCATTCTCAGTTCACAGGCTGAATAAAAACAGGTTTGAGCTGGTTTGGGCCCTCGTAGTTTGCCGACCCGACCTGGCAGACCAGCGCTGTGAGAGGCCCAGACACCGGACAGCAGTTCTCGAGAGGCTCATTCTGCGTAGGAGCCTGCTGGGGTGAGGCCAGCCCCTGGGGTGAGGCCAGCCCCTACACCCCCTTCACTTGCACCCAGCAGCACCCTTACCTGAAACACACCTGGTCCCCCCTGCCAGTGCGGTCCCTGGAGAGCGATACTTACCCCCTGGCAGTGGTGGCTGCCCAGGGACCTCGGCTGCCCCCGGGGCTGCGGTCACCTGCACCACCAGGTCCTCGCTGGTGAAGGCAGTGGCAGGGTGGGGCGTGGGCTCCTCAGAGAAGTCCCAGGGCCTGCTGTCCACCCCGGTCTCGTTCTCGGCCTCGGGGAAGGTCGTGGCCCACAGGTCGGGAATGAAGGTGAAGGGCTCCTCGGGCCCCAGGACAGTGGGGGGGACCTCGAAGATGGGCTTCACCGTCAGGATCACGTTGCCTCGGGCCTCCCCCTCGGTGGTGTTCCCGGGCAGGGGCAGCTCCAGGTCGGGCCAGGTCACTGTTTGGATGGTGATGTCCTCTTCCCCTCCAAGCCCGAAGAAGTTTTCTGGGATGTCAACAAAGTCTTCACCTAGGGTGGAGGACAGAGACATGCCTTAGGGGGTCTGCCGGGCCTGGACTCCCCCTGGTGGGGGACGGGGGGCGCAGCTGTGAGCCTGGCACCTGGCAAGGCCCTGGTATCTCAGGCAGGACCGGCATCTGTCCATTAGATGGAGAGACGCCCCAGTGAGGCTGGGGGCCTCGACCTTCCCCCACTGCACCCTAGGGGTACAGAGCCTGATTCAAACTCCAGGAGACACACCTGACTTTACACTTGGACCCCCGCCTGATCAAGGCTGGTGAGACAGGCTGGGTCTGCTGAAGCCTCCAGAAACTCAAGCTCTTGTTAGCACCCGGGAATATGGGGTGGGGTGCTAAGAGGTTCAGGCAGCCAGTGGCCTCTTGGAGGGGCAAGCATACCCCCTTCCCAAGACCTTTGGCTCTGGGCCGTTTCGTGCCGTGACCCCCTTCGGGCCCCACCTGTGTAACAGATGGCGTCGTAGCGGGAGGAGGGGTCCGGGTAGCCCGTCTGGTTGGCGTGCAGGTAGACCGTCCTCACGCCCAGGAGGTTGCCCCCGCAGTTGGGCCGGGCCTTGGAGATGGGGTAGCGCACGCTGCGGTCGGCCAGCCAGCCCGCGCTGCACATGTCCATGCCGGCCTGCCAGGCCAGGTAGAGCTGGCCCGTGGTGGCCAGCCGGGCGCCCAGCCGCCGGCACTCATTGGCTGCCTCCTGGAAGGTGAATTTCTCCGGGGACGTGGCATAGAAGACCTCACCTGCGGAGGACATGCTTGGTGAGGCCCCTCCGCCCCTGCCCAGCGTCCCCGGAGAGGCCTGGCCCTGTGTCTGAGCTCGGCCCTGCCTCCACCGCTGTGGGCTGTGCTGGTGTCCCAGAGCAGGGGCCAAGAGACACAGCCCGCGTGGCGAGGAAGCGGGGTCGGGACAGAGCAAACGGGAGGCCGCGAGCTCCTGCCCTGTCTCGCGGCTCACCCGGGACCTCCCGCGCTCAGGCGCCCAGGCAAGCCGCCACTCAAGACGAATCCTTCCAAAAATTCAAATGCTCATCGGACGCTGACCCTTCAGCGCAGTGGTTCCCAAAGTGAGTCTCTGGGCAAAACAGGGCACACAGACTTGTTACTTAATCGACGGGCTGGGGGTGAGGCAAGGCGTGCGCGGGCTTGGGCTGTCTCCTGGGCTCAGGACGAGTCAGCACCACTGCCCTCCTGCCTGGCCCTGGGAGAAACAGCCCCGTGGGGAGTGGGGTCCAGAGCCTGGAAAGGCAAAAGGGGTGAATGGTGCAGATGGAGAAGGGGTGACATCTGCCCACTGGGCAACAGGAGCAGCTCTGACCGTGACCCCAAGAGTCCCCATAACAGGAAGAAGGACCCAGTGTCCTCCCCAAGCCCCAGGGAATGGCCCGCAGGGTGCTGGGAGACAGGGAGGGGTGTCCTCAGTGGGGGTGACAGGCTGGGCTGGGCCTGTCACTGGGGGCGGCCTGGCTGGCAGGACATGTGACAAGCACCCCTGAGCCCGGTGGTGACAGCTGACAGCACCTGGACCACCGAGATCCTCTCCAGAGTGGACAGAGGGGGCCAGACCAAGGTCCCTTCCCACACCCACTCCTTCCCTCTCGATCCCTGCTGAGCGTAGTCCAAGGGGGGCCGTGAGTGGTGTCCTGGATTGCTCCTGCCCCAGAGGCAGCCCGTGGAGCTCAAGGACCTGGGGTGAAGGGCCAGGAAGGGTGGGTGGGGAGGGCGGCTCACCCTCCATCTCCTCCACGAAGCAGTACACGTCGTATGTCTCATTGGTGTCTCGGACGCCATAGGTCCTCACACCCGGAAACTCGTCCTTGTCCCCATAGCAGCCTTCCCTCGGCGTGTGGATGGGGTACCTGCCAGGGGCCCAGAGGGGAGTGTGACACTCCGGCCACAGAGGGCCCCAGGCCTGTGCCCTTGGGCCCTCGCCCGCGAGAGAAGACTCAGCCGCCTGGGCCAGTGTCTCCCGGCTGGAAGCCCGGTGGCCTCACCTGACCGTCTGGTCCGCCAGCCAGCCCGCGTCGCACTGGTGGAAGCCGTCCTCGTAGGCGGCCTGCAGCTGCTCGGGCGAGGCGATGACGGCGCTGTTCTGCAGGCAGGCCCGCTGCGCGCGGTCGAAGTCCAGGGTGTAGCGCGTGGAGATGGCTCTGTAATGGAACACGACGCCTGCAAGACACGCGGGCACGGTCAGCATGCCTGGCTCCAGCCCCCACACCTCGTCCTGTCCGAGGGACCCCGGAGACACGGGCCGGGACCTCGGCTGGGCCCCCTCCCCACACAGGTCGGCCATCTGCCTCTGCCGGAACGCCCACGTGGGAAGCTCAGTGCCCCTCAACGCGTCCGCTCGGAACAGCCAGGTTCATTCTGAGCAGGCGAGATCTTTGGATTGAGCTAAAAGCTTCCCCCTTGTCACTCCAGACCTCCAATTTTCTTTAGGGGATGAGGTCCTTATAATCCCAAGCATCCTTTTGGGGGCGCACCATTTAAGGCACACCCAGGAGGGGCCTGTCTTGGACGGAGCCTCCTACTGGGAAAACTCCAGTGCTGCCCGCTGCCAAAGTCCTGAAACCCACCGAGGACCCCGTCTTGTCCCCAGGCCATGGGGAGAAAGGGGACAGGGGTCATCATCTCTTCCTTTGGCTTCTGGAACGAAGGGGTGGAGGTAGGGAGGGAAGAGACCCCGGGATGAAGAGTTAGGGCAAGGCTGTGGCTCACAGCTGGGGAACTCCAGGCATACCATCTCCCTTCCGCTGCTTGTCTATAAAGTGGGGCGACGACCGGGCACCCCATGCTGCAGGCCTGCTCTGAGGCCCCCTGACGAGTGGCCAGCCCGCGGGGTATGGCATCAGCAGCTCCGTGTTACAGAGGTGGCACCAAATGAAAAGGCACTTGACGAAGAGCAGACCGCAGGCCGCCTGGGCGAGGGTGCCCTTCCGGTTCTTTCTGCAGGGCGCGCAGGGGAGGCCTCACCTTTCACCATGACCTCCAGCGTGGCCTGGCTGTCCTCCACGCCGTGCACCACCTCGCAGCGGTAGACGCCCGAGTCGTTGGAGCGCACGTTCTGGAGCTCCAGGGTGGCGTCGCTGGGGATGGCCGGGTAGTTGAGCAGCGAGGCCTTGTCCTGGTAGGCGCTGTGCACCCGCACCTCCCCCTCCGTGGCCACCAGCAGCACCAGCTCCTGGTCCTGGGAGATGCGGCTCCACTTGATTCTCGGGGACAGGGGGGCGGTGTTGGGGGCGGTGGTCACGGGGTGCATGGGGTCGATGAAGTAGCAGGGGATGGTGAGGGAGCTCCCTAGCAGGACCCGCAGCGGGGATGGCTCCGGTATGCTCACGCTCAGCGAGTTCTCAGGGTCTGTGGGGGCAAGGTGGGTTGGGGGCAGAGGGTCAGGGCCGAGGGAGGACCCCAGCCCATCTGCCCCTCTGGAAATGGAAACGCGGTTTCCGAGAGACCCGCATCCAGTGTGTGTGCTTGAGTCCCCAGGGGGTGCTCTGTACCGTAGGGCACTCCCAGGTAGCCTTGCAAATCCCTTTCCAGAGCAGTGTTCCCCAAGAACCCCTGGTCTCTCCACCTCCAGACACAAACTGTGGAGCCAGAAGTGGCTGCCAGGGAGGAGCAGAGAAACTGCAGCAGCCAAATGACTGCTCAAACTGGGGTACGTGGGACATAGAGTAACCAGGACCATCTTCCTAGAGGGGGAGTTTGACAAGAGTTTGGGAACAATGATTTGTGGGTGAGAGAAAACCATGATGGAGAAGAAAAAACATCCACACAACTTTGAAAGCTCAGATACAAGACTTTAAAGATGTGCCCATTGAGGAGGTCAACAGCAGGCTGCACCCCAAACCGCTCCCTTCTGTGTCTGGGAATTGGGGATCCTGGAGGAGAAGCACCAGTGCTCAGATATTTGTCTGCAAAGGGTTAGTCGGGGGGTGGGGGTGGGATAGATTGGACGCCCCTAAAATCATGGCATCTGGGTGGAAAACCCAGCCTGTTTATTAAATCCTGTTAGAAGCAAAAGATCTTCCTGGAAAAGGAAGAAACGACTTTTGGGAAAAACAGCACCTTCCAGTGGGGCGAGTGGCCTGGTGAGAGGCGGGGATGGGCGATGTGCGGGCGCTGGGCAAAGGGTTCTTGCGGAAGCCCATGTACCCCACGTGTGAATATTTTGAAGTTATAAATCAAACCAACAGATTGTGAAATGAAATCTCTTATCTCTTCCCACTTGACAATACTACCTTTCAGAACGAAAAGCCAGATGTAAATATTGAATTTTTGAATTTCTTAGCATTTTGCATTGGGATGTGGGGACCAGTTGGGGGCCGGGGAACCAGGGCCCCTGCTTTTCCCACCTCAGCTGTCCACCGCCCATAACAGTCACCCTTTAACTTGTCCCTTGGATCTAGGGTGCGATCCCCGCACAAGACCAGACCCAGAAGAGCACTGGAAGGAGCTGGGACTCACTAGGCTAGGGAAGGCAGGAAATCCTGGGTATTAGAGTACGGTCTAAAGGGGTGGGGGCTTAGATGAGAGGCACACTGGCTCTTCAAGCTTCAGAGGATTTCTGGGGGGCTTCTCAATCATGAGGCCCAGTGCAAGGGCTCCTCTGCTCATTAGGGGTCTGTGGGGTTTGTTCATTTGGTCCAGGGCTCAATGGTCAGACCTTGACCCAGCGTCTGCCACATGCAGGAGACCAGGCTGGGAGCTCCCCAAAAGGCAAGGGCTGTCTGATTTGTTGGGGCGTCTTACGATTGTTCTGGGGATTTTCGCTTGGCATTCCAGGGGGGACCCTTGCACCCCTCTGGAAGACCTTTGCTGTTCCCCAACCCCGAGCTCAGCGTGCGGCGGTTCTAGGTGAGACCTGTGGTAGGCGGGCGCCCGCTGGGAGCTCTCCTCCACAGAGGTTCATCCTAGGGGCGCCGCCAGGAGGGCCCCCAGGTGGATGCGTGTGTCCACAGCACAGCCCTTTCCCACCAGGGCGCTGCTGCCGTCAACAGGAGGGGGGCAGAGCCAGCAAAAGACACGCAGGGGTCCCCCACCCTTGGAGCAGCAGCACCAAGTTCGGGACCCGGTACAAACCCCCTACTCAGCGCCCGCGAGTGGGGACACGCGGCAAGTCCTCACCTGAAACATCTACTGAGACAGCAGCAGCGACGGCCCTCAGAGTCACCAACACCAGGAGTAAAGTGGTCATAGTTCACCTGTGGGGGCAGGGCAGAGACATCAGGCCCAGACGCGCTGGGGGTGGGGGCAGAGGTGGGGAGGCTGCCTGGGGTTCATGAGATAGTCCCTCAGGAATCCTCTTCCCGCAAAAGCGCCCCAGGTGAGTGGCAGGTGGCAGGCCACAGGCATCAGGCTGCAAGCATGCCCTGGCTGTTCCAGGGACCCAACTTCCCACACCGAGGCTCATCTAACGGCCCTGTAAGGGTCGCCCTTGTCCACCTGACTGGGCCAGGCATGTGGCCAGTCATTATTCCCAGGTGTGGGCGGTGGTGTTTTTGGCTGAGGTGGGCACGCGGGTGGACTGAGGAAAGCGGGCGGGCCTCGCCCCACCCTGTGAAGACACATCACCAGGCCCAGCCTGCAGCAGAGCCTGTGCCTCCTGCCTGACGACTTTCACCTGCCTTTGGCCCCCACCTGAACTCCTCCAGGTCCTGGCCATCCCCCCCGGCCGGCCCTGCCAGCTCTCCAGGTCGAGCTCCCCCGGGGTCTCCCCGCTCGGGAGCCAGGTCCTTAACCTTGTATGTGAGGACTGTGAGGGCTGGGGCCTGCAGCTCTTTCAAGCCCCTGCGACCAGCCCCAGGGCCGAGGGGAGGTGGAGGTGCTGCCCTCTCCCCAGGCCTCAGGGACCCGTGCGCCCACACAAGGCCCGCCTGTTCTCCCTCACCCACCTCTGTCGGGAGGCTCAGGCGTGTCTGCGAGCATGCCCGTCCCGCTCGGAACAAGCCTGACTTTGTCCGCAGGGCGGCCTCTGGCTCTGTGGGCTCGGCCGCTGTTTTCCCCTCGGCCTCTGCCGAGTGAGGAGGGAGTGGGCTGGGGCAGGGGTGGAGTGGGGAGAGAAGCTAATTTTATTTCTTCTTTTTTTAAAGATAAACTTTGGGATAGAAATATCACAGTAAATATGCTCTTGTTTGTGTGTGTTTCCTCAGCTGTAAAGAAAATAGGGAGAAATTCCACCCTGTCTGGGGTCCAAACGTCTCTCGGACTCACTGAGTCTTTTATGCGAGGGGTGGCCTCTGCCAGGCGGCCACAGGGGCCCTTTCTCTGCAGGGAGCAGAGTCGGGGCCCACTCTGCGGGGTGGGGAGGACAGAGTGGAGCTCAGCATGGGAGGGGCAGGAGCACCCAGCACGAAGTGGGAGAGGAGCATGGGGAAGAGCACGGTGTGGACGCCGGGTGAAGACCGGGTGTGCAAGGAGCTGCTGTAGGACCGTGTGTGTGTGTGTATAGTGTGTGCACACAGGTGTGTGCATGTATAGCGTGTCCACACAGGCATGATTAGTGTGTACACATAGGTGTGTGCATGTATAGTGTGTACACACCGCCATGTGCTTGTATGGCATGTATACACAGGCATGTGTGTACACCGCAGGTGTGAGGGTGTTTGCGTGCCCACATGTACAAGCACGTGCAGCCGTGCATGCATGTCTGCACTAGTGTGCATGTTTATGTGCACACCCCTGTGTGTGAGTGTGCAGGCACGTGCACGTGCTGCAGAGCCAGGACAGGAAATCCTTCTACCCCGTGCCTGCCAGGCTTCGTGCCTCGCTGCCAGCCCTGTGGACCATGGTCTCTACTCCCTCAGGCGAGGGGCCCGAATGGGCAGCTCATCCACTTGCCTGGAGCAACTCTTCCAGCACAACATGCAGGACACCCCAGGCCTGCCCAGTCCTGGCCCATCCCTTCTTCTGTAATAACACGGGCCCCTTCACCAGGGAGGACAGAACGCAGGAGCCTGCCAGGCGGCCCTCCCCAGGCAGGAGTGTCTCTGGTTCTGGGTGCTCGGGCCTGGTGCTCAGCAGCTCCCGCAGTGCCTCCCTCCTCCCTGTGTGAGCATCAGGGGCTGAGTCAGTGACTGTGTGGAGGACTCTTTTCGTGGGCTGAGAGTTGGACTAGATGACTTTCTACAGGGGGCAAAATTGCTTTCGTTTCAAAACCAGCCTCACTGCGTGACCAAACATTTGAAAGAGGGAAGCAGACCCAGGTCTCTACGCCCCAGCCTGAGCCAGCTGTGCCTGGCGGCGACGGGTCTCCTTCTAGGCTGTCCTGAGGCCACTGCTGTGGTTCAGAGTGTCCTCTCGGCTCCTGCCACCTAACCTGGGGCCCTTCAGAACCGATGACTGTGGGGTTTCACCATCCCGACCTCCCCAGCGGGGGCCCCCCCAGCTGGAACCTGCCCTCAGCGACCATGCAGATAGGCCCACTTCCCTTTCCTGGGACCCAAGAGTGTCCTCCAGGGCCCCAGGCCCCCTCCTGCCTGCTGCTCCATCATCCAGACATTCCGGCTCCTTCAACTGGCCCCTGTAGCTCCCAGATGGCTCTTCCTCCAGGAGCCACAGGTCAGGGCTTAGCAGACTTCAGTGACCATCAAGTCCAATACCTTCCTCTTTCAGGGGAGGAGACCGAGGCCTGGGGAGGGACGTGACTGGCCCAGGGCCACACGTCGTCTTGTTCCTCCGTCTCCCTGGTCCATCACAGAGAGAGGGCCGCCAGGGAGGAACCATCGGCCCGGGCCTCCTGTGTGGGGCTGGGCTAGGGACTGACCTCAGCGTCCACAGGCCTCTGAGGGGCCAGGGCATCTCAGGATGCGGACTGCTGGTTTGGGAACTGACAGCGGTGCCTACGGACTCTGGTGGGTCAGGACAGCACATGGAAGCCCAGAGGTGTGAGCAGCAGCCTGGGCCTTCCAGGGGTGCTGGGGAGAGTGTGGGGGCTGCCGCTGGCTTGTTTCCCGGCCAGAGCCAACTTCCAACACGTCCTCCAGCCCCGTGTCCCTAACGCCACAGGGAGGGGTCTCCAGGGCACAACCACGGCGGGGAAGCAGGGAGCACGAGCCAGACTTCGTTTTTTCACCCTTTCTGAGACCGGGTTGACCTATGCGCTACTGGGCCCTTAAACCCCACGGGGTCACATCCATGAGGATTTTCTAGTAAACAGACGCCGTGGACAGGGGTGTGACAGAGGCCGTCCAGTGCCTTGGGGCGTCTTCTCCTGTTAGGGTTTTCTTGTCAACGTTTCCCTCTGCCTAGCTGACTCTACTGTAAGAGTCCAGTCCAGAACGCGCCAGGTCTGTGTCCAGCCAGTGTGTGTGTGACCGATAATGCTTCCGGTCAGCAGCAGGCTGTTGGAGTTTTGGGGAGGCCTGCACTTCTCACCCCTGCATTGTTCAAGGTCAAATGTAAGACTAAACAAAGGTGAGCCTGGAAAAGGACGACAGGCAGATTTTCCCCATCCAATGAAGCCTTGTCCTCACTCCCTGCACCGCCTGCCTGAGGCCTGGGGGGGTCATAGGTGCTGAGCCTGAAGCCCTGGTTGTTTTTCATCAGGGCAGGGAGGCCACGGGCACCCCAGCAGCCCCAGCTTGGCAGGGCAGGCTCAGCCCCAGCTGGCGGGCTCAGGGCACTATGTATGGCCCCCTGCCCTCTGAGACCCCCTGGCCTTGCTCGGCTCCCCCAGGGTGGCTGCCTCCACAGCCACTCAGTGCACGACGTTCCTCCCGCGTCTGATGCACCACATTTGCAACTTGAGGTTGAACATCAGGCCTTAAGTTAGAGACAAAATCCCTCTGTATTAACTCACACAGTGCGGGGAGCAACAAAAAATGGTATTGGACTCCCACTTGTTGGATGAATGGTGGGTATTAGAATTTGGGGGGCTGGTGAGCCAGTAAGATTTGCAGATGACCACCTACAAACTTAGGAGTTGATTGGCGGGAACCCCCTCCTCACCATGGCCAGATTTTTTGATATCTTTAGTGGACTCAGTAGCCCAGAAAGCAGGAAAACATTTGGCGAAGCTTTGGCGAGAGTGGAGCAAGTGAGAGCGGAAATAATCAACAGTGAGGAAAAGCACGTGGAGAGAGAACAGGAGGGGACTCGAGGGGCCCCCAGCCTGAAACTCATTTGCAGGCTCGTCTCCCTCTTTTCTTGTCCCTCGTGGACTCAAGGACAAGGTCCACCCTACATCTGTGAATGAAAGCAGCGGCCTGTGCACTTACATTGGGGTTTTAAACCCAGTAGAGGGAGAGACAGACCCCCACCAGCATCACAGTGGCCAGAGGGACCCACACGGCGGCTGCTGGGTCTCCACACATCTGAGCAGGGCTGGTGCGATGGTGCAGGGGGCAGCCCCGGGAGGCAGACTCCAGACCTGGCTCTGACCTAGTTCACTGGGGGTTCATGAAAGCCCCAGCTTCCCGGCTGTAAACTACTGCACAGTGCACGTGCCACCCAGAGCCTGAGGTCATTCTGCAGGTGCCAGCCCTTTCTGTACCTCCTCTTCCTCCCTGTCCTTATTCTCGCTCTGTCTTTTTCCATTTTGTGGATGTCCTCATTCCTATTTTATTACTTGCCCTGTCAAAGCTTCTCTGCGTCTCTAAGTGCCAGCTCCAGTCCTGGGGGGGCTGGGGGGGCTGTGACCTTGGGGTAGAACGAGCCATGTCTCACCTCTCCTAACATTTAGGGACCAGCTCATCTCCTTGTTCTGCTTCAAGAGCCCGGACAACATTCTCGGGGAAGGTGCAAGCCCATGGGGCTGCATGGCCCCCCAGCCCTGATGTGCTGGGGAAGAGATGGGGGTGTGGGTTGCAAAGAGGGGAACAGTAAGGTTGTATGGGTCCCGCCCTGGTTTTTGAGGAGTTCCAGGAGGCTCTGCGGGATGACGTGGCTCAGTGTGCAATTGGGAGAAGAGAAGAAGTCAGGCCATGACACAGGCCCAGAGGGTGACACACCTACAGGTCACCTGTGTCACCTGGGACTTGAGGCTCTCTGCTAACATGGTCTCTGCTGAGGCGGACTCGGCCTGACAGTGCCCTATTGAGGCCTCCACTTGGGTCTGGCCCTTCCTTGCCCCTCTCTCCTTGTGCTCACAGTTTATTCCTTCCAGAAGGTTCTGCATCTGACCTAGCCATAGCTTTCTTTGAGCTCCAGCGCAAATGCTCCCTCCTGGAAACTCCTCCCAGGGGAGGTCTGAGCAATCTTGCTA